GCTCGATGCCCTCGTCCTTCAGCTCCCTGAAGGCCGAATCCCCGAACGTCTCCTTCGTGCGCCGGGGCTCGCCATAGATTGCCTTCTCAAAGGCCTTGGGCACCGCCGTCTCCAGGTATGGCTCGAAGTGCTCTTTCAGCTTGGCTATGATCTTATCCAGGCCCGTCTCCTTGCCGATCTCTTCCACCGGGACCTCATCGACTGCAGACTTGGCCGCTCCACTCAGCTGCCTATACACCTTGGTTCCATGCTTGGCTTTCGGCACATCTGTGTCGTGCTTCCACAGGGCTAACTCTCGCAGCCAACCTTTGAACCTCTCGGCACCGCCGTCAAACTGCGGGGCCGGATCCCTGTCCTTGAACGAAGCTTGTCCTTCGGCCCCTTCGGTCATGGCGCTCTAACCAGCTCACGCTACCACTATGAACTCGCTGCTAAGCTCGCGGGTTTTCCCGCATATGCGCCAAGTGCGCCCCCTGAGCCTTGGTGGCTCTGGAGCGATGCAAAAGGTTCACCTGGAAAAGAGTATACAAGTCCAGAGATCCCGTGAGGCCAACGGGGCTGTCCTTTTCACAGTGGAAAAAACAATTGTCCCAATCGGCCCGACTTGAGACGCAGGGGGTGCTACGATGACAGTCATTCAGCCGCCAACCAAATGACAATCATCATCAAGCGCTACTGTGACGCTATAGCCACCGCTGGGGACGCAGGGGGTGCTACTACGATAGTCATCATCATGCTGCATCTTCCAACGAGCCTCATTTTCTGCTCAAGCTGCTATTCGATACTCTTTTTGCGCTTGCGGGCGCTTTTTGGGGCAAACGAGCGCCATAAAGTCTTCGCGCGTGAAATCAGCCAACTGGAAGGCTGCTTCGAAAGGAATTGCGGCCCCTTGGAGCAAACTTTGCGCAATGTATTTACAGTATTGTTATTGAACAGGGCAGTAGCTTTCCTCGATGAAAGGGGAAAGGCCGCACGCACATTCTCGCGACAAAAGCGCAATTTCTCGCCACACGAGCGCACATGAAAAAGTGCTAGTTATGTCACGTTCGGCGCCCGCTGCAAATCTTGAACATAAGTAGCAGAAAGTTTGAGCCCGCACGACGGACAGTTTCTTATTTTTCAATATCCGCAGCCGAGCGTTTTTTCTTGCACCGAGCGGTTTTCAGTTCTATGTGCGGTAATCTGCGCGAGAGGAAAATAACACTCATCGACAGATTCAGGATCCTCATCATCGTATTTGGCAGCCTTGCCTGTGCAACATCATCAGTATCGTCGCCATCGCTCAGCCTTATCAGCCTTATCAGCTTTTGTGTGTACGCTTCAGGTGTCCTGTTAGACCCGACTTGACGTGCAGGGGATGCGTAGTGACGATTATCACCATCCCTGCTGGTGATGCTGGGGATGCGTAGCGATGATTATTTTCATGGCGATTAGATCATCATTCATTAGCGTCATAATATCTTGTCTAGCCTCGTTCGGCCCGACTTGAGATGCCGGGGGTCGGTAGTCATGATTGTCATCACCACTGCGTAGTTATATTCACTCCTGCGTATCTTTCGGGCACACGTTTCAAATGTCCCGTCAGATCCGGCTTGAGATGCAGGGACACGTAGTCATGATTATCATCATCACTGTAGGTGGTGCTGGGGATGCTTATCATCATGGCTGCGATCACAATCGTCATAACCATCGTCGTCATGACTCGGCGAATCTGTTTTGTATGTGCGTTTCAAGTGTCCCGTTAGACCCGACTTGAGGATGCAGGGGATGCTAGACACAGTCGTCGTGATCGCGAGCATTGTCATCGTCGTCATGACTCGTCCGTGTCGCTTTTGCATTTAGGTTTTCAAGTGTCCCGCTCGGCTCGGCTTGAAACGCAGGGGATGCTGCGACGATAGTAATCGTCATCACAAGCACCATCATCACCAGCACCATCATCATCATCATGGTCATTAGCATCGCCATCAGCAGCCTCACCTGTGCTTTCAAACCTGCATCACACGAACAACACTTACTGGAACTCATAAACCAGAAAGTCACAACACCGGAAATCAACACATGAGAACCTCCCTCTTTCCCCTCTACAATGGCTTCCACCTAAGCGTATTTCAAAAACAAGACATTCCAAAACATAGCTCGCAGAGCACAGACCTCGCAACATGTGCCCAAAAGCACACAAACAAGCAGCTCGAGTGTCTGCGCATGCGCAGCACTTGTAACGCATAAACTAGTTAGGCAGCAAATGGGTAGACGCCTTGCTGGGGCTTCTCGAGCTTGCGCGACGCAGCTTGCGCGCAGCTTGCGCGTTGCTGGCTTGGGTTTAGTCGTGTTAGTTGTTGATGTTTAATTGCGTCGTGTCAATTACAGAGCTATCACTTCCTTTCATGAAGCTAGCATGAAACCCTTTGAAGCTTTAACCTTGCGCATCCCTTGGGCCGCACTTGCGCGCTCCTTGCGCGCGCATAGCTTTTGCCAACTGTTACTTCTCCCCGTTCGGCGGTAATTAAAACCGGAGGCTGGGGTTTTGGGACTGCCCGTGCGCAAAACGAAGCGAGTGGGCGGGCGCGCTTACCATGCACCAAGCAACGCAAGCGTGCGATGGATGTGGGTATTCTGCGCCGTCATGTGCGCAGGCTTGAACGGAATGCGTTTCCATGCGCGGATCACTGCCAGCGTCCTACGAAGAATAGTTTGTCATAGGTCGTTCCATGTGTGGATATCATAGGAGTGAGACAGCTGTTTGGTTGGGAAACGCCACATGAGCGGACCTTTTGATAATGTGAAAGGAGGTATACATGGCGCCCGTTGGATTTCTTTCACCCGCCGCACGCGATCGCCTCACTGCTTTGCCGAGCTTCGGCTGCGGAGGGACTGCCGCTAAATCTGAACGCCTGCCCCGCTACATTTCTGCGAAGGCACTGTACACGAGCGCTACTGAGTTTGCCAAGGGTCTTTCTGCCAAAATAGTCACGTACTCCAATATGTCGCCATGTCAATCCTCTTTTGTGGTAGGATATGAAACATCCTCATACATGCATGTGTAGAGATATGTATATATATATATATATATCTGTATATGGTGCCCCCCCTGGAACACTCAGGTTTTGCTCAAACATTGACATGTTGCTGTAAACATGCATGCGAAATGCACTTTCCAGCTTCTAAACATGAGCTCCACAAATGCACTTTGTTTCGACCTAAACTATAGCATCAGTACTTAGTGCAATCCGGGATGTGCTAGCACCTGCTAGCACATATCAGTTTGACATAAGTATGGATTTGAAGATTTCCAGAAAAGCGGTCTGAGAATCTTCAATCTTAATCACTTTCTTCAATCCAGGATGTGCCAGCACGTCCTAACACATTTTGGATTGCCCTAAGCACATATGTGAAGACTCCCAGAAAGAGTCATCAAATAATCTTCAAAGCAGATCCTGGATTGCCCAAGTATGGCATCTGAAAAGGCGGACAAGCAAAGCAGGTTCCAAGAGTCGAATTGTGGATGTGCACCGCCTGCATTTTGCCAAAGCGGGAAACATGTGTTTTGAACACTTTACAGCTTTCGTGGGACTTGAGGGCTGGCCAAGATGGACGATTCTCAAAAAAGAAAATCTGGAGATCTTCAATCGTCAATGCAGGTAGGAAAACCTTAAAGAGTCTAGAAGAACTGTCAAGCTGTTTGGGGGCCAGGATTGAGGATGATCGAAAATGATGTCTGTGGAATCTTGAATAGTTGGCTTTTGATCCAGGGCAACATGATCTGAGCGAATGATGAAAACACCCCGTTTTACAGCATGTATTCCAAGAATAATATCAATGTTTGCAAACACCTTTCTGCTATGGTTTGGCTCAGTTCTTGCTTGGTTAAAACCACATGGAGTTAGATAAGGACAGCAACCCTTATGACATTCATCTTGACTACAGTGTTGATTGGCCATGACAATAGCTGTGTTCTCGAATTGATTTTAGAAACACACAAGAGACTGCAACCGGTTAAAGTTGAATTCGGCTTGAACTCGAAATCATTTTAACTTTCATATTCCTCCTATACTTGAATTTCAATAGTTGTTCTTGACAGTGGTTGAATCGTATTAGAGAAGCACAGCACAACTGAGATAGCTGTTTTGCAAGTTTGATTTCAAGTACACTTATAATGTATATGGATTGGTGTAAAAACACGAATTAACATGTACATGCAACTGCGCGAGGACATGAAGCACTTCTATGTTTGATTTGGATGACAGCTGCAAATAGGATTGAGCTCCTTTACCCTATATGAATGATTTGCCGAGTTTCCTTGAAAAAACAACACTAATAAAACCAAATAGGCGTTGCAGTCACGATGAAGCTGCCAAAGCATGCTTTGCGTGCAATTCTTGTGCTGAAAAGTTACGCTTATTTAGCTGGGGCTGCCAAAGTGCACTTCGCAGACTCCAGCGTGACTTTAAGTGCACTTCGCGTTCAAGCTGTTTAATAATTAGGAGCTACTTTTAAACGTTAAGCTTAACTTCTGCTTGGTCTGACTTTGCATGGAGTTGCATGTCCTGTCAGCTCAGTTCAGAGTCCCCCCCCCCCCCCAGTCTGGCCAAAAACTTGAGTTCTGGACAAAAACCTGAGTATTTCAAGGGGGGTAGCATACGTATATATACATACATATAAATATCTTCTCAGCATACCAACCACATTGCTACAGAAAAAAAAAAAAAAAAACTCCGCATTGACAGGTGCCGGTTGTCTTTGGCATGCATCCTTGCCACAGAACCAGGGCGCACCAGCAAATTGTGCCAAGCCAATCAAAAACACAAAGGTGACAAGCTAGTGCCACTCTCTTGGCTTTTTCTAGTTGTAACAACAGCACCACTTGGTCTTGCAATCTTGGCACTTGCGAACATAGCGTTGCCACAAATACGGGTCCCCTTTGGTTTGGTGTCATTGTGCCGTTTCAGGTCGGGACCCACAGGTCGCTCCACCACATCATGTTTGAACCGCGCGCGAAGGTCTCAGCAGGTTTGCCTGGTCGCACGCTGTGCCCGGCAACATTGGGGATCAATGGTCTGGCTCAGATCGACAAACTGGTGCGCAGTTGTGTTCATGGGGGCATCGACACAAGCAAATTGGGGCAGTTGGTCACTCAAGGGATTTGTCAAGCCTTCCCGAAAATGGTGAGAAAACCCGCCTTCTGTAGTACCGCTGTGATTGCCATGGCCACTCACAGGTAAGGCTCAGGAAGCGAACCGGAAATGTAAACCGAACCGCGCCAAACAGGAACCGCTCGAACCGATGGAACCGAAGTGAACCGAGCCGCTGAAAACCGCACCTTTCAGTCGTCCGATGGAATCGAGGAACCGAAGCGAGCAAGGCATGGCAATGACCTCTTCACATGAGGGGCACAAAGTGAAACCGATCTGTTTCCAAGGGTTGTTTCAAAGGCAGCTCTCACACTGTTGGCAGCAGGTATGTCAGCCTGCGTTAAATTGGACCACTCCCAATATATGCGGGCCCCTCCGAAACGTGAACCGTGGACCTTATGGACCGTCTGCACTTGTGAGCCTCTCATGCGTGGGAACAGCCCCGATACAAGGACTCTGGATCCTTCCAATGCCTGAACCCTTTGCACGAAACCTCCCCTTCCAACGCGTACAGCCTTCCTACTACGCAGCCCTCCTGTACTCCAAACTACGCACCCCGTCTCTATGTCGACGCCTCCTACAGTATACACGTGTGCATGTCCACGTGTTGAAGGTGACTCCGTGGTTGAGTGTTGCAGAATCAAGACACGGCCTGCAAGTGTCCCAAACCACCAAGATCCGATTAGGATTGGCGCGCTCAAAGGCATTGGCAAGGTCGAACCGAAGCACCGAGCGGTGGTTCGTTGGCTGGCTGTGGCTTGGCATTTGTCCTTCGGCTCAAAACAGCTTCACTGCAAAGGGTCCGAGTCTGCGTGCCACCGCACTACTGTACACGCACGGAACCGCATGATAGGCCAAACGCACCATTGGCCTCGCAAACATCGAGCGTGGTGTTGCTGTGCACGGCAATCCCGCGAAGCTGCTTCCGTGGGCAGCCGCGAGAAGGCCTTGTCCGAAGGCTGGGGCGATCTGCGAGATCGTGACAAGGAGCGCCAGAGCCGACGCCCGGCCCGTCAACTTGCAGTCTGACCTCGTGGATGAATGTGTCGTTGTTTGAAGACGGTAGCGGCACAAAGTGGTAAGCCGTCTCAGCCAAGCGCGTGAGCCTGAACACGCAAAACCCCCTCTGCTCTGCAAGGTTGAGCCGAACTCAGCCGAACCGTTAGACATACTCTAGAATCGAACCAAACCGAACCGTTGGATACTTTGCAGGAAGCGAACGGAATCAAGTTGTATCCTTAAAGGCGAAACCGAACAGGAATTTCCCAGAACCGCGGCAAAATAGGACCGAACTGAGCCGAAACACACAAAGATGGTGCAGCTTGAACCCGAACCCCTTTTGGGTTCCCCGACTTTTCTGTGCAACGCACGTAAATTCCTGAACAACCGTTCTTGTGTCACACTGACTGATCCAAGCGGAGACAACAAACCCAACCTTTGGTTTTAGCAAATGGTCTAGCCAACAAACAAACATGCCATCTCTTTGGTCAAACCATATCTTTGGTCAAAACCACAGTGGTCAGCCTCTCCGAGGTTTAGACTGGAGCAAGAATCTATGGGCTCGATTGGCGGAATATGGTCCCTCTGAGCCATACATACACTTGTATAACCATACACAATACACAGCTATACACTACTATCTCATACGGATAGAGAACATACCCACATGCCTGAGTTCCAGTAGCTTGCCGTTTCCTAGTACCCACGTATCGGCACGGATCAATCCGTACATGGCCAGCCGGAGTTGTCATTTGCCCTTGCTTTCTTCCGTTTGCTTCAGGCTGCCTTTTGAAAACAACCTTTTGCCAGTACACTTCAAAGGGAACAAATGCATCTTCCATGCAAATGGCGGGTCAATAAAGGGCTTAGTATGCCATGACCCCATTCCAACTATTTTGGCCCTTGTAATTCCCCACGCGCCTTGAGAGCAGCGGTGGCCCCGCCAGCGCCGGCAGGGCTGCCGGCTGCAGGCCAAAGGGCCGCGCCAGCAATGGCAGCTCCTTGTTGCGGTTCAGCCGCCGACCAGACGTCACACAAATAACATCAAAAACTGCCACCGGGCCTTTTTGTGCAGCAAAACACCGCCGACCAAAACACTAAAGTCCCTTCATATATCTGAGGCATCATACCAAAAGGAAACTATGTGTTTGGCAAACAAGACCAAAAAGGACGTCAAAACTCAAACAAACTCAAGGCTCGAACATCTCGAAACTGTCTCTAAATGAAGGGGATAGGCCAGCGGGGATGTTTTATAACAAAAGTAGATGGGACGGGTGGAAGAGGCAAAATCGGCGGTGGGAAATCAGGCCACCCGGGTGCACGGCCTTTGATGCAGCTTCACCTTTCAAGAAATCATAGCATCTGATAGTTGTTGGATAGTTATTGGCCAAACCTCTTGGGCATGAGTCTCTTCATGATCATCCAAGGGAATTGAGTGGGTCGCCAATGTTAAGAGATCGGGATCAGGCAACCACTGGAAGGAATCAAACCACATAATTTGGCTGTGGACACCAACATGGATTCACAGCGTGGATTCCAAACGTGGAAACATCGTGGGCTAGAAAAACACGTGGCGCAACACGAGGACAAACGCGGAATTAGGTTGTGTGTCTGCATTGTTTGCAATGTCCAGGTACCCGAAAAGGCATTTGGAGGCTACAAACGTGCGCAAAAGAAAAGTGGAAAAGCATGCAAAAGCGTTGAAATAACCTGAAGTTAAGGTCCCACAAGGAAACCCACATTTCTCCCCCACGTCTTTTCTACACTTCAAGCCACATGTTGGGTAATTGGCACTTTCCAGCACTTGCCTGCTATTTAAACTCTTAAGGCTAAATGTCCACCTCCCATGAATCTGTAGGGCCGGAGTCTACTAAAATCCGAAGTAGACATCAAATGTGACTTTGGCTGTTGTAGAGTCTTTGTGCTGGCGCCGCCGTTCCAGCACTTTGGGTGTTGTTTGTTTGTGTGTGTGTGTGTGTGTGTGTGTGTGTGTGTGTGTGTGCGTGTGTGTGTGGGGTCTCGTTCCAGGACTACTTTGTGTCGAGGAGGGTACCTGATCGGGACTTTAGTTGGTGTGAAGTCTAGCTACCAAGAAGTGAAGGTGACATGTTGCTCTCTCCCCTGAGAAATCATGACGCCGCATTTCTCCAGCCCCGAAGCCGCCTGCCTCAAGACTCTCCTTCGCCAAACCTTCGCCTTGGTCAATTTGGACACTTTCAGCCCGTCCCCCCTGGCACCCTCTAAAGGCGTAACGTGAGTTGAAGGGCTCGTAAGTTTGAAACCTGTGGTATTATCTCCGAACCAATCTAGATGAGACAGCCGAGTCACTGCTGCTCCCAAAGGAGCTTTCATCATGGGTGAGGTCAAATACCCGAACCTTGATATAGACAGTGGCCATGCACCCTCGTCGGGGCTTGTCTTGAGGAAAATGGGGGGAATACAACCACTCCTAGCGGGCATCGAATGGTTGTATGGTCCATTCACCACTTGAACGTAGAGGTCTTGGTCTTACGGCATACGCAACCTCCATCTATGTAACAGTCATCTTCGCCATTCCTTGGGGGAAGAAGAAACAAAAACGGCGAGGCTTCGCATCAAGGCGCTGCCCCGAAGGTGGCCGGGCAGGGCAGGGCAGGGCGGAGCGTCCAGCAGCATCACCGGCTGCCACCGGCCCCACCTGAGCCAGCGACCCCTTTACACGTTTGTTGTGCCAAAACCGATTTGTCCGTCTGGTGGCGTTTTTTTTTGTTTCCCCCCCAACAGCCTGAAAGCTTTGGGGTCTCAGCCCAGATAGGCTCCGGGGTGGTCCGGGGCGGCCCTGAGGTAAGGGGTATGGTTTAGCTGAGGTCTGTGAAAAGTCTACGCATGCGGAAGGAATGTGTTTCCTTCATTTCGCTGTGGGGTGCCACAATCGCTAATGAACCTAAATGACCCTGGCTGCCAACCCTCCCCAATTTTCGCAACCCGTTGCGTGGGACTGGTGGAGCAGCTTGCTATGCCGTGCTTGGTTCGCCTGGCCCGGTGAGTTCAGTAAGCAACGCACTCGGAGCTTCTGTCGCCCAGAAAAACGAAAGCCCTGGAAGCTTCACCACCACCCACCAGCACGCAGCAGCACCAGCACCAGCACCAGCACCACCAGCACCAGCACCACCAGCAGCACCACCACCACCATAGGTGGGTCCCTGGCTGCCGACTTCGGAAGCCATATCCTCTTCAGCGGCCCAGAAACAGATCCAACTTGTTGGGCCTTCGTATCGGCTCAATCCCTTCGGTCTGAGTGCAAACTTTCATGTTGGTAGCCTCAATGAAACAAACACAAGAAGATACAAGAAGTAAACATTAATACAATTGTTGTGTGAGAAGTGAGCCAGTCCACCACAAGTTGTCAGTTTGGAGATCCAAATGCAAGCGAAGGTACGTACTCACAGCCACCTGCTTTCAGTGAACGCCCCCGGGCTCTCCAGTCATCAAAACTTGGTATCAGAGGGGTTTACTGTGAACCCAAAACCGTGTTGAAAGTCTTTCATATCTATTTCTAGCAAGGGGACTGTCCACTCTGCTTCAGTTGGGTTTTGATTGTGGCCTCAACTCTCCATGTGGGCCGCGCTCAAGCTCTGCCGTGGGCATAGGCAAGTTTGTGTTCCGCCCTCCTGGCTTGTCCCCCTTCTTGTAACTGGTGCGCACTCATTGGACACAACGTCAACTACTCTACTCCCCTCAAACATAGACATGCAACCCCTAAAAAGGGGGGTTCGAAGCCACACCGAGATTCATTTATCGAAGTGGCGGTCAGATTTTGGCGCTTCGCAAGACCCTCGCCGAGCTGCGACTTGCTCCAGAAGGGCAGTCGGATGCTGCAAAGCTCCGTTGAACAAGGTAGAACTCCTGGCAAGCTGCACCACATCGGCTGGCTTCCCCCCTGCCAAAACAGTTCCGGACCTTTTGTGGACGTGCCCAAACGTATCGTGATCATGTCACATGGCAAACTACCTGCGGCGGATGGGGGCAACGCCCAGTTGAGCAGCACCCCAGACTTCCTGAACTTTGGTTCCACCAAGAGGTTACAGCAAGTGCAAGTGAGAGTTGTTGATTATTCCCATTTCATCATTAAACTTGATGGACATTATTCAAGCTCCCAAGAGGTACCTTCCGCGGACTTCCGCGGCACATGTCTTTTAGCAGTTCATATTTCCTTCCGCAAAAGTTACGCGGCGCGTTTTTGCAAGATTTGCTTCCGCAAGTTGTGCCGCAGAAAGGAACGCCTGTTAAAGTTACATGTAAAGTAATGTTCCTCAGGTGTTGGTGCGGCGTCTGTAGGCTTGGGCTCTCCGCCGAGCACTTGCCTGCAGACACAGGGCCACCCTTGCGCGGAGCTCCCGCGAAAACCTTCCGAGAAATCCGCCGTCTGTTTTTGACCTCTGGGCTTGACGCTGGCAACTGCTGTTCTTGTACAGTAAGCGTTGCGCTTCTTGTATGCAGCAAAACATTTCTGCTTCTACTGCAACTGTCTGCCCGTGCTTTCCACGTGCACAAACTGAAACAGGTCATGTCAACCCACAAAGCTTCCACAAGCCTTCCGCGCGAGAAATCCCTTCTCCCAAGCCTTCAGGATGCCTCCGCCTGCTTTTTGAACATAATTTCCCTCTCCTTAGCTATAGCTTGCGGAGTGGGCCCTCGCCTGACCTCAGCTTTAGATCCTGTGCCGACCATTGTCATTTTTTAGACTCCACGGCCCCAGTCGAAAGAAACCTTCCAGCCTTCTTCGCCCAAAAGCCGGTGCACGAAGAGGTTCATGCAGCCGGTAGCCTGAGCCAATTTCTGGATGGTCCGGGAGACAGCCAAGACCGAGTTAATTTCAGCTTCCATCCAAAGGAAGAGGTTGGGGATGGTTTCCCAGTTGCCCTCTGCAAGAACCAGCGGTTCAAACTCCAAAAGCATTTAATTCAATGTGCCAATTGGAGTTATCTGATAAATTCCAACTTGCCCCTACCTCCTTGAAAGCAACACGTGGCGTTCCTTTGCAACAAGCTGCGCAACAAGTTTGTACATTGTCTGTTGGTTCCCCTCTTAACGTATTGAAACCGGCGTTTCGCATTTTGCAGGACCTTTCCTTTTGTTCTCTTTCCAATCTCCTCTTTCTCTCTCTCTTCCGCCGTCTCATCTTTTCACTTTCCCTTTTCTCTTTTTCCTTTTGTAGACTGTTCCCTCCTGTATCGCTTTCAAGCAGTAAGTCGTCCAGTTTGTTCTGCGTCGGCGCCGCCGGATAACCTGTTGGCTGATTGGCTGGCTAAGAGTGCCACGAGCGAACTGAAAAACATAAACTCCGCGAGTTTTTGAAGGTCACCGAAAGTCCACAAACAGTTCAGCTGGTGAGGCTTGTGAGAGCTACCAAAGCGTGAGTCTTTGGGGTCGACCCGCCGAAAGTCCACACATTCACCTTTCAAAGTGCCCAAGCTGAAACAAGTCAAACACAAACGAGTCGAGGCTTTCAAGTGACGGTCCAGGAAAGTCAAACTGGGAAAAATAGAACCCGAGTTTTTGAGGGTCGACCGTCGACCCACCCAAAGTGCGCATAGGTTCACCGATTGAGGGCTGCAGACTAGTGCGTCGTCGAGGTTGTTTGCGCACATGCGAAACAGCCACATTCATGCTCTGGGCCCGCGTTTTCTGCCTCTGGCTATTCCCCTGTTCCTGCTTGTTGCTAGCTTGTTCATCCGATTAATTGCTTTTCCATAGCATTTTTGAAACGCGTGTAATGCAGCACTACAGAAGTTCTTGTTCACATTTCTTTGGCAAATGCTACAGACCATGTACGCGGTGACCGCGTAACGAAGGGCGAAGCCGCGCCTTCTGCGCTGGAACGCAAATCTCGAAATGGTCCAAGATCCAAACGTGTACTTCTCAGGGACAAGCATCCCGAGCCAAGCGTTGCCCAAAATGGAGACTTGGCCAATCCCATGGCTCCAAGCGTGCGAAATGAAAGGCCTGCAAAAGGGGACTGGATTCATTCGCAATACAAGTAAAACGTCGCAGATTGCAGGGTTGAACAGCTGCGTTGATCTCAAAAGTTGGTGAACATATTCTGACCCGCTGAATTTGCTGGCCTTTCCTAAAATAAAGAAACCGGCAAAAAAAGACTCAATGTTTGCCAAGTCAACAGGCAAGCCCCCAGAATTGAATACAAAGCATCACACAACTGAAGGCATGCACACACACACACAACACAACACAACACAACACAACACAACACAACACAACACAACACAACACAACACCACACAACACAACACAACACAACACAACACAACACAACACAACACAACACAACACAACACAACACAACACAACACAACACAACACAACACACACACACACCATGCGCACCGTGCGCACATCGAGCGCACATACACCGACACCAACGGGTGAAGTTACCGAGTCATGGCGACCATGGAGGCCGCAGGGTCGAACACCAGGTTTTCTTCGCGCCTGCGGGAAGCAGGCGGCCATAAGGTACTCACCGGCCCGCAGTGTGGCGGCCTGGATGGTGCTGTCACAGTTGTATTGGTGTGTTGGTTTGGGGATGTGTTTAAGTGTCTGTGTGTGTCATTGATTGTTGTGTTGAATATTGTTGAGGTAAAAAGAGGCTTGCAGAAAATGATCCAAGGTTGAGTACGAAAGTTAAGGTCAACTAAATGACAGTGAACCCTAGCGGAAAGCAACATTAAGGCTGAATGGGCGCGAGCATTTTTGCACAATTGGAAGGCTTGTGCAAAACCACCGGTGTAAAATGACAGTGAACCCTTGCCACAGCACGATCCTTCGTCTGTAATGCTCAAGAAGCAGCGCACTCAATTTGCATCAATTTGCAGCAGGGTCTTGACATCTAATATATAACGTGGGAGGCGCGAAACGAAACCAGAAAGGGAACTGCACACATTTGACCAGATTGCCTCCACCAGACTTGCCCACCCCCGGCAGAAAAAGAAAAGAAGAAGAGCAGGCTTTGTGCGTGCCAGTGGGAAACTGATGAAAACCCACAAAAGAAGCAAAAGGATCTAGGTCACTGGTGCCCCGTAAGAGACCATTTTTTGGCCATGTCCTTCACATAAAGATGGGCTAGCATACGACTAGGAATTGGGGGATAGAAATGAAAGCCAAGTTTGAACGCGAATGTTGACTGCTCATGTGTTAGAACATCAAACAGCCCTTGAGGCAGGTTCCTTCACTAGGGGCATATTTTGGGATGGGGGGTAGGGGCTGGTACGCGATCTCACAAACTTAACCCTTGTGGCTCCCCATCTAAGCTGAACCATTGTTTTATTTCCGCAGAAAAGAGTCGGCTATGAAGTAACATGTTGTCATGACCATTTCCCCTTAACCCCAAGAGGGAACAACAGCAATCACAAATTCAGCAAAGCACCCCTTTTTGGATTGTTTCACTGGGAAATCAGAAGGAACCCGCCGCATCTTTCGGGGTCCGATTCCTATTGTTGGACCTCCCGAAAATGGACGTGAGGGAACCAACTGGGACAAATCACGCAGCACCAACTACGTCTGCACCCCGAAAAAAACACATGGAGTTCACTTTGGTGCGGCTGGAGTAAACAGACGTGCTAAAAACATCGCCAATTGGGCAGTGCCAAACACGCACTGACGTTTGGTGCTACCAACATGGTCATAAAAATATTCGCGATGCTCTCCAAACTGGGAAGTAAGACCCTAATGCAAAACCCGACCATGGGAGTTTGGGTGCTGCTCAGTTTTCTGAGGGCCTTGTACTAGCAAAAGCAAGCAACTTACCTGTCAGAACGTCCAAAGGACCGAAAACCAGAATTTTCCGACATGGTCAGACTAAACTGATACCCTCCCACAAACAAACCGAGAAGTGTGCAGGGACCCCCAAACTGGTACAATGGTGTGCTTTCCTTTGCGGGGGTTGCTCAAAACCAAAGGAAAGGCGGCGAGCCGCAAAAAAAGGACCAAGCCATTTGCAGGGGACCCACGCCACTGCTCTCATGGGCGGCAGTCGCGTCACCCCGGCCATGTTGCTGTCCTGGGGGCCGAGACGAGCAAAAAGGCCTCCCTTCACATGCCAGCCGAAAGGATTGATTCCGTCAACCAAACAAGGATTCCCCCAAGGAATCCCCACCTGAGGGATAAAAATAGCAACTCAGCAACTCTTTCGGGTCCAGCACTGTGACCAAGACGGATGGCCCGTTTTGGTTCGCCACCAACGGCAGGCATGGCAAATAAAAAATGGGAAGGAGCATCTGCCCAACAAGAGTTCTCGCCTAGCGTCACCGTCCAAACGGAAAGTCACCACCTAAATTGGCAACTAATATAATGTTTAAAAGCACCGCTTGAAACCAAATACTGTAGACAACATCCTGCACCAGTTGGTAGGTGGTTCATCCCTTCATTCATCCCAACCGATTTTGTCTATGCACAATAAAACGCGTGCATTCAACTAGGATACTCAATAGTTAATGTTTATGTACGTATCATATTCTTCTCACAAACAGGTCGGAATGCAATCGAAAAGGCAGTAGTCAGTATTTAGTTAGCGGTTAGTAAGCATTATCATAACACTTGCAAACCCGCCAAAGCCAACTCAGCTCCCTAACGTACCTCGCCACCTCAAGTACGGAGCTTTCAAGAAAGGCCTATTTTGAATGCAATCTGGGACAGTGATCCCTCCCAATCAGACTGGGACCCGCACAATATGAAGGCCTTGCTGTGACCATACCGCTCCTGCAAGCGCGATTTGTAGGTCGGTTTTGCTACGTAAGCATGAAACACTTTTTTCGTTGCGCTTACCTGACCAACCATCCCTCATGGTTTCCTTTAAGGGAATCCCCTTCCGGTTCATTCCCAAACTTTGGGAATTCCCTTCTGAGCACCAGCAAGTTGTCTGGCTCTCCCCAAGCCAACCCACAGGGGGGCTCCCGATTTTACAGGCAGCTGCATGGCTAGGCATCGGACACGAGACCTTCAAAGATCGCCAAACACTTTTGACTCTAAGGGGTTCAACAACAAATGCACCGTAGCAACTTTCAATTGACAAGAAAGTTCCATCAATAGACAAGACAACATTGGCTAACAATGATGCCTGTGCGGCCCATGTTGGGAAAGCACCTCTAGTTCTGGCGGACCCTTGTGCGTAAGCGGAACCCGGAAGCCAAAGGATTGGTTTCCTCTTGGTATTATTGAACAAAGAGGTCAGGTGGATGGATCTTGGTATGCCTCCATAACTTTAGCCTTCAGATATCCTCAAAAAAACTGTCCATAGATAGACTAGTCCAGGACTCAACCAAAAGCACGTTTGGTTGATGGTTCAAGCCGTGGCGTCCGCTTGGTTGTGCATGCTAAATCCCTGGCCAATTGGTTGGGAGTTACAAGCGCCAGCAGAGGGAAAAAGTGAGACATCTGCGGCAGAGTCGCAACCCATTGCTGAGATTCCCAATGCTAAACCCTGACACAACACCAACACACACACACAGGCAACTGCAAAACACAGGAGCGACGCGGACGAACATGACACACAAGACCAGCACAACCGGAAAAGAGAGCATGGAATCTGGGGTCACCCACAGGCATCTCCCCAACCCGTCCGTCAGCAAGAAGCCCGGTGAGGATGAGGTCCTCTGTCCCGAGCTCCTGGGGTGAAGAAGAGCCGAAGCAAAAACCGGTTTGCCTTGAGATGGGGATCCCCAAATGGCTCCAACTTGCGAAAAGCAAAAACCTCCTTGCTAAATCCAGGCTTCTTTTGTTCGAGTACAAGTTCAATTACCCCATCGAACAGTGAAGAACATGAAAACAAGACCACCACCTGGAGATCAATTCGCGCCGCGCAAGTCCACAAAAAGTTGTCCAAAGGCAGGGCAGCCACGGGTCAACACCAGAGTCTGGCGTTTTTCCGAGTCTGTCGGAGAATCTCAGGCTATCGCTGCCAATGGCTCACAGAGTTTCAGCAGTTGGCATGGATGCGTTCCGTGGCTTGGACAAGCAAGAGGCACAATGAAAAGATGGACGTCCAAATGCCAATAATTGGGTGTCCAAACTGGGACCACCTTGGTTCAGAACCCGCGCATCGTGAACCTGAACCCGAGCCCCATCCATTGCCTGGCCTTGTGGATGAATCTTCCCTCCTGACAAGGCCCTAAGGCACAATCTGCAGTTTCCGGGAAGATACTAGGCCCAGTGAGATGTGCCTCTGGCCCCTTCTGGTTGAACATGCAAAGGGACCCCATGCATTCATGTAGAGACTTGGACCCTGTTTTCCCCGTGACAGCCAATGGAAATTCTGACCAGCCGCTCAAACGGTCTTTCCAAACAGCGTGGGTGGGGAGGGTCGGGTCGACAGAACTGCTGCTGGGCCTCAGCCTGGCACATGGTCGTTAAATTCTGCAAGGCAAGGGAAGATGGGGAGGATCTCCCGACTTCCAATACGCAAGGTGCAGTTTGGCGCACCCTGTATGCAAGACACTGACTCCTTTCAGGCGCCACAGAATTTGTCAACGTTGGTTTAGGGAAGGTTTAGGATGGGCGTAAGCATGCGTAAGCATATGTGATTCCGGCCCTTGTTTAAAATGTGTTCAGACATGTTCAGACCGTAGATCGGTTTTCAAGAACTCCTGTTGCTTCCCCTTACCACCCCTTGAGGCAGTTCAAACCACTTGCTCTCTGAACGAACTCACTTAGTCTTCCCTTTCATAACGGGAGCGACATGGCAGCTGAAAGGACATGGCCGCAAGACGCGCCTTGCTCTCTCGAGCCTTCTTTCCACTCTTCACCTCGCGAGAAGGGCCGAGGGCTGGCCCTTGAGGTGTGTTCTGCTGCTGTCTTCGCACGCTGACCGGCCAATTGATGAAAAACAATCAGTAAAACCTCAACACCTCCCACAGGATGTCTATAGCCACAAGGATTCTTTTGGGACCATGTGGCCCATTTCATGAGGTTGAAGTATCGCGTACGGGCCCATGCCACGATGATGCAAGCTTGGGAGAGGGTGACTTGGGTGACCCTAACTAGGTTTCTCTCAAATGGCTTCCCAGATGCTCACACAGGGTCTTCGTCGCGAGGCTGGAACCCTTTGTTTGTTGCAACCGACTTGAGCGGCAGTCAAGACCTTGTGCTAGCGATACCGGACATGGAACAATTTGGCTTCCGCTTCTGTGGTTGATGACTGTATGTGAAACTGTGATGCATCCCCGGTCCGAACATCAAATTACAAGCATCGTCTTCCCCCCAAAAAAAAGTGTGATTCAAAGCTTCGGAGCCAAAAATGGAGCCGTTTTTTCTGGAATTCAACCTCAAAACCATCCCAAGAAAGAAAAAACAAACTGATATCAGAAACAACCTACCCATTGGCCCCGCCCTCCCAATCCGAGGTTCGGGCACTGGATCTCCGGCCCTTGTTCAAGGAGGCCATGATCTGAATCTTCCGCACAGACCTGGCTCCACCAATCCGTTTCTGCTCCTGTCTCGCTTGTTTGAGGAGTTGTCCCATCCTTGGGGGTTGGCGTGAAGGAAAACTAGAAGGACAACAGTCATTTTTTGGGTTCCGTGTTTCCACACACGCCCACATTTGCTCATGGCGATGTGGCTATTCAGTTCCTTCGCCAATTCCTGAAACCGGCCAGCCGTCTGTTTTACACTGCCCCAACATCTATGGAACATACCAAAGAAAAACAACTGAGCAAATGGTAATCGGATGGCAATCCACTGAGACCGTACCAATGGAATATTGCCTCCTCCTGTCTCTTCGGGTCTTGTTTTTTTAGGGTTCTTGGCTGAAACAAACTATCTATACAAGTACCCATGGGACAGTATGTGTCCCCTGCCATACAGTACTGGGGTTGGGACGGTGCATCTTTTTTGAGTCTGCGCCGGCACTGCAATCCATGCAAAAGAATCAGATGGTGCCGTGCCATCTGAGCCCGCCGCCGAGACAGCGTCAGCGTCGAGCCTTGCCCCCCCACTCCAGAGCCGCAAATGGAAAAAATCCAATTGACTTGAGGACAGCCTTAACTCTGCAAAATGGTGCTCACTTGTGCTGCGGGAATTCTGCTCTATAAAGATGTTGTCTAGCTAGCCCGCAAATATGTGGTGTAAGGTGAGAACGGTTGGAAGGATACGTGTCTCCCCTGGAAAATCGTGGGCCCTCCCTACAGATTTCTTGTGTCCACAACACATGGATTTGGAATGGCCCTTTTTCTGGGACCTTCCCCCAACTTTTGCGCCGAGTTCTTCCAAGGAAAGCAGTCACGGCCATGGTCATCGGGGTTGCACCAAGTGTAAACCCACCATGGGCGGGGTCTTTTCCAGGTGGTTGGTTTCCTCCTGGCCTAGACCATACACCCGGTTTTAGCGCAACTGGCGCTACAATTTGTTTTGACAACCGTACTTGTCAGAATATATACCCCTCAGCAGGCGCGCTTGCCTTTGGACAAACACCACAGTCCACGCGTGTCACGGCACGGATGTAGCCTTGGCGGTGTTGATTGCAAAAGCTTCTCTCTGGATTGCTGAACAAAACGTCTTATGATCGTTTCACACAGAATGATGCCGTATCCGTTTCTCTAAGGGGTCTCCAGTGGCAAAAGCGAGGCGCATGCCTCTTACAGCACGCGGACCCGAGACCAAGGAATCACGGCTAGCTGATCACAGGGAGTCAATGGGTCAAAGGACCACATGAGCAAAGATTTTGCAAGGGCCAGGGAGGCGGAAGAAAGAACCACGAGGACAGGGGGAGGGGGGGACACTAATACCAGCCAACTGAATGCCCTCCGGAGCAAAGGTACAAGCAGCGACGACCAACGGGGAATGGTTATAAGTAACCAAGAACTCATGGGAATCAAGGGGCCAAAGGACCGGGACCAGGGGAGAAGGCAGAAGGGACGGGGGGAGCAGAGGACCAAGGGCCAAGGGACCAAGGGACCGAAAGGCCCTGGGGGACCAAGAGACCACAAGTCCACAAGCAATACAAAGAGATTATGGAATCTGTCGCTGATTGCTAGAAATTTGTTTTTCCCTGCAACGGGCTTGAGATGAGCAACAAGCTGCTTCGTTTCCCCACAGGCACGGCAAGATACCTAGCATTTTCTCCCGCTGCACGCGCTTTTTCATGCGCCCACGCGCGCCCACTCAGCACTATAGCCGTGACTGGCAGATGGTAAGTACACCTGCGCACACGCCCTGCCAAATGGTAAGCACACCCGCTCACGCGCACCCGCTCAGCACTGCACCCACGCCTGGCAAATGGGAAGCACACCCGCTCACGCGCACCCGCTCAGCACTGCACCCATGCCTGGCAAATGGTAAGCGCGCTTACTCACTCGCACACACCAATGCCTGGCAACAACGAGTGGCTGTTCGTGTAATAAGCTGTGTTTTGGGGCCCGGCAGCCAAGCACGGGTGGGGCGCTCGTCGACCACTAGTCTGCGCATGGTTCTTTGATTGCTCAACATATTGTTCTTATTTGATGGCCATCCCAACCGAAACTCCCATCTGGTGACAATCCTTGCTGTCGGGCCGCGCGATGCGGCCGCGCCCTCCAGTGACGGGCTTGTCTGCGGCTCGGGTGATGCCGCGGCTGGAGCCGCCTCCGGAGAGGGCGACTTGGCCTGGCACACCGAGCAGAAAACGTTGCTAAGGGCACACACGCCGGCAGACTAACATGAAAGCTCTACCAGAAGGCCACGGTAAATAGAAGACTTGGCAGTTCGGAGCTTCCATGTTGGGGGAGGGAATTCTCCAAGTTCGCAGCTCGGAAACCAGATTCCTCGAACCATGTTTTGGGACTTGGCAGTTCCTCCCAAATGACCCCAAATATGCAGGAACCTTCAACCGCTTCCTTCCCCAAAAAAGAGATTCCGTTCCATGCTAATCATGCAGTAAAAAAACAATCTTGATTGAATGCCCCCTTCCAGCGAAAAACGGGTCCTACAGAGCGTGCGGATCTTTCCAGACCCACCGAAAAACAAGAAAGAGAAGGGTACACGGAGGTTGTGGAAAGTGGGGCCCTTTCTATGATACCAACCAGAATCCGAGACTAGCTTGTCATTTTCATGTTACTTCTTGGGAATCATACGTGGGTTTTTTGCCAACGCAACCACCTCAGTGCCGACTTGACGACACGAGATCAGAACTCTGCTACCCAGCTCGGGAAATCCGTGCAAGCAACCCACCTCGGCATGGGTGGTTCCAACGATCTAAGACTGCTTGGGTTTCTGTGGGTTTCCGGAACAACATCCATTAAAACAAAAAGTCGTGAGGCAAATTTCGAGGGCAGAGTGTTTTGTTGTTCATTTTTGTGCGGGCACTCCTTCCGGGTTGCTTTGAAGCCAAAGGGGAACCCGGGCTCATCGTTGCGACAAACCCATCTCTGGCCTCCGAAGGTGCATTCCGTGCTGCCAGCGGCGCCATGCTAGACACCTCGTGCAAACTGGCAAGTTGGGATCTCGGCTTTGCCCAACACCTTGGCGACATCGCCATGGTTCTAAGTGGTTTCCCACAGTCCCGTTGCTGACCTCCCGGAGTGAAGAACAAGCCAGGGCCCTGGAGTTGGGAATGTGGCAATGTTCAGTGCCCCTTCGCGACGTTGGGCGCTGGCCAGAGCGGCAGGCAGCACACAGGCTGGCTTGAAGCAGGGTGGCCTGCAAAATGAGAGCGGAACCCTTGCATATGTTTCCCCACGTTGTCCCAAAATGGAAGGAACCTAAACATTAATTGCTCGTGTGCAGTCCAAACTCCGAGGGTAAATCCTCCTATTGCAGGATCCACGACCACGACCGTCCCCAGAGTTCGGCTATCATGACTGATTTGGGTGTATGTCCATTTGGGGTATGTAAGCATGAACCTTAGACAGCAAGCACGCTCTTTTCGAGAGCGGACATTTCTGCGTGACTTATGAACTTTTTGTTCACGAAATTAGGCTGATGTCGGAACGCCCCTGAAGTTGTCACACACAAGCCAAACGGCTCTCTTGGCACTTTCTTGGGCGGATCCCCCTACTGCCCCCAAACTGAACAGGGCCCCTGTATGTGGTTGTGACACGCCCCTTTCCGTGACAACTTTATCTCTTCAGAAGCGCTTCCCTACTTCAATTCCCCCTGGAACCTAATTTTGCACAGCCTTGCCCCCTCCACTCACTTGCTAAATCAGGCTTGCATCAATGCTTGAAACTGGCAACAACAGGCTTCTGTAGTGCAAGGCACTTCCCTACTGGACTTTAGATTCTTGCCAACAAAACATGTGCAACATGTCTCGCACGGCACGTTTGACCACCGACCTACCCACAATTTTCGTGCGTGACCCTTTGATTGATCTTCCAGCAGGCATATGCGCTTGATCATTCTATATGGTAGGGGATATCAAGGCTTGTGGAGAGAGTGTCTGGGGTGGGTTGCAGTAAAAGGCTTTACTAAGGCTTTGTCCTGGGGTTCTCGAGGGGAGGACCCTCTCTCGCCAGTGTGCCGTCTCAGGAATCGCGAGCAAGCAGTCACGGTTGGCTCCAAGCCTCAAAACATCAGTTTCACAACAAACTTTGCTGGGAGTACTTGGGCACGAACAGTAGGGGCCGTGTAGGGTTGCTCCGTCCCAAGAAAACACAAACACCCAACCACAAAGCTTGGACCATTTGCCCCAGGGTTCTACTTGGAATCCTGTTGGAGATGTAAACAGCTTTTCCAAACGTCTCCGGCGCGCCTCTCAGAATCCTCAGCCGGGCAAGAGCACCCCCCCGCCGTCAAAAGAGAGCCTTCAATGGGAATCTGGTGGCTGAATTCCCTTTGAATTGCAGGAGTTTGTTGCTCTAGCAGACATATATGTTCCAGTCCCCAGGCCACCAACCCCCCCCCCAAGGGTAGGGTCCCCCCCCCCTCCTGCCCCAACCCTGAGCCCCCAATCCCCACACCCCGCTGCCACGGTCCCCACACCCCCTCCTCGAGCCCCTGAACTCCCACCCTTGCATCCCAACACGTAGGACAACTCACAACCAACCTTAAACCCCAATCCTAAACCAATCCTACACCTTAACCCTAACCCCAAACCAACCCGAAATCAACCCTAAACCAACCCTGAGCCAACCCAAAAGCCACCCTAAACCCACTGTAAACCAACACCCCAACCGCCATGGCCTGGAACATACATACGGGTTTAACACCCGAGGATTTGGTGATCCGGAAAGCTGGCCCGAATCCGGCTTACCTTTCGACCACTTCCTGTTGAAAATTAGCCCCTCGAACACCAATCAATTGTCTACGACAAAAGTTGGGGTCCAACCGACTTTCACCAAAAAGCTGTGAACACCCAAGCCTGAAGGGTCTCATGGTCTTGACCCGCCAGGTGTCTTCTGTGCTCAGTGGGCTCATTAGACTCATTGGGCTCACCAGCACCAAGCCTCTCAGGCAAGTCACTCCTGGGTTGTTCTCTGGCGTGCAAAGGGTTCTGTCGGTAAGGAAGCACTAAGTCTCCAAACGGTCAAACCAAAGAGCAAGCGATGTATCCAAGATCCTCTGCATGTCTTCCCAAAGCTTCTGCCCTGAAAGCAGCTCAGCACCTGGTGGCGACTCCACAGTGTCGACTCGCGTTCCCTGAGGCTACAGCCAGCTCATCCCAGAACTGGACCTTGGACGCCCAAGTAACAAACGAAACAAGTGCGCAATACTGGCAATACTCTCAGTTGCCCAAAGGACTTGGAAATAAAAGGTTTACCCTTTGGGGCCATGACTAACAATGGACAACGGGAAAACCAAAAGTTCAAAAGGTCGGCTTTGGACAAGTGAGTAATAGAGGCAGGCTCAATGGAAAACGGGCTCTTCAGCCATGGTAAAGCTTGACTTTTGGGGAGCCTAAATGAGAACTTTGACAGACGCCAAAACGGAGACCCACAAATTCGGTCTCTCAATGATCATCCTGATGATCCCCGTGCAAGCTACCCGATGCCGGAAAGGAAACAAACATCAATCTGCCTTGAGAACAAGTCACTTCAAGCGTGAAGCTTGGATATGGCGCCTGTCTAAAAGTTCTTATTACTTTCTGGAAATTGACATCTTTTTGGAACCCAGTTGTTCAATAACCCTGGTAGAGAAAGTGCACCCTTAAGGATGACCATGTCCAGTGGGGAAGACATCAAACACAAAGGGAAAACGGGTGTCACTAAACAACTGGCGGTACATTCGCATCTTTCGCAAGCTGAGCTCCACTGGGCATTTGCAACTGCCAGACGCGCAAACGCGCAGCTGTAAACCTCAGCTCCAATCACAGCTTGCCAGCACTCAAAGTGCACTATGGCCGCTCCAGCTGCAATATCCCCGCTTTTTCAGCAGCTGGAACATCGCAACTTTCAGCAACACCCCATCAGAAACTGGCAGCAAGGTCTAGGTCCGCGGACCTTCGTTCAAGAATTCCGCGCCAAATTTTGCCGGACGTGTGGCTGACAGATGTGACTCAAATCTAATTAAGCCAAACACAAGCCGGATGAGTTCGCCCAGCTTGTGCGGCCAGTCTGCAAGCTGGGCGCCTTACGTGGGGTCCTTGACCAAAAACCCCCGCTGAGGATGGTCGGAAAATGCACAAGACCAAAGGTTGCTCCCGTGTCTCAGTGCAAGGAGCTTTCGGACTCCCAAACAGCATTCACACAGCATGTGCAGTGGGCTTGTGTGAACACAGTCAACCTAGAAAGGCAGCACTGTTCTTGTCCTGACACAAGTGAAACACAACTTGACAAACATGGCATGCATCAATGGCATCTGGATGACCGATTGGTAAACTTCTGTACAGTGAAGAATCTGTTTGACCGTGAAGAATCTGTTTGGCCGGTACACGATGTGATGCATGATGACTTTAATTTCTTCTCGCTTTCGCGGGCCGTTGCCGTGGTCATTCTTGCCACCCGACGAGCACCACCAGCATCATAACCACATAACCACCAGCACAAACCACTTTCACAGTCTCGCCAACGCTACTGTCTTAATCTCCATCGTGACCATCCCAAACAGCCATCATAACCCCTTCAGATTTTGCCCCCAACTAAACTGATATAGTTCAGTTGGGCATGGTGTTTGCATTTGCATGCCGCAGCACTTCCATTTGCGAGGCCGTGCTTCCAATTTGGTGTTGTGGGCTTGCTCTTCTTCAGTGCTCCACGTCACTGTCTGCGTTTGCAAACGGCATCATCCTGGCTGCTGTCTGGCCCCCTGCCCTTGAACAGCCAGGATTGACGGTGGGTCTTGTCGCTTGTGTGCCCCCACGACAGTTGATTTAGTTGCACCAAAATCATCGTTCCTAGTTAGTTAGCTGTCCTGGTCCACATTGGGCCTTAATATTGCAATGTGGGGTCAACAAAAGTGATCTTAGACCGCAGGCACCAGCACCAGCACCGCTTCCATCTTCATTTGCAGCATTTTTCCCTAGCTTCGGCTTTCCGCAAGGCTAGGAGCCTGGCACTCTCGGCTTCCGGAGTGGGCGATTGCCTCACCGGTAACCCCTCTCCAGTGGTTGACCCGCGACATGGCACCCGAAAGGCAGTCATAAGAAGATGCGCCTTTCCTGCTACTTCCTTTTGGGAAATTTTATGTTGATTTGCGGCGGAGTACTCTATTTTCCATGCAGGGTGGGTAGTGGATTCCCTTTCAAACAACACTCGCCAAATATAGTGGACATCCGTCTGACATCCTGGCGTAAAACTATATTCCCCTACAAGAAGAAACATCATGTGACTTGCCCCGAAAGAGTGGGATGTCCGCCGACCCCTCCTTGCCAACAGGGGAGGCGCAAGGGAAGGCTGGCAACAAATCATTGTTTCACTGATCATTGAATCATAATCTCAGAAGTCACTATCATAACACACATCGTGTTTAAACTGAAAATAAGAGGCCTGTTGCAAAAACGCTGGGGATGTTGCTGCTGCCTTCCTATCTTGACTCATCATATCCAGGATTCACAAGGCACGCTAGACGCTGGTCATGATATGTGGTGATGCTGGACAATGTGTTTCGCGTGTTTCCCAGATACTAATGTTGTTTGGCTGTCCAGCAACATGTTTCCCATGAACATCCCACTCTAGGGACTCCAAGGGGTAGTTTGGGGAGGCTTGCGGGAGGATTTGTTATTTTTTGAGTGGTCGTTTAATCCAACACCATCCATTCCTTTGTGACCATTCGGCTGGGGGACAAAGTCAAAAGCACTTGTGTACGCTGTTTTCGACACAAAGTGGTCGACACCCCCAGCATCCACAGTGCATGCTTTATCACAAATGTGTCATGGTCATACTCGAAAGCGGCGTGTAAGACATTGGCAGTCTGACTCCAACGTGAGATTCTTTTGTTGGCAACATCTGAGACTCGGGCGCTTCACTGCCCTGGCACACAGGCAGTGTTTGGAGAGCCTCGAGGAAACATCACATTGTTCGGGGTAACATGGGTAACCTAATTTGAGCCAATCCGATTCAAACATGGTTCCGGCCACCACTAAATGAACACGGCAAACCCAGGTTTGGTTGGGAATTCGTGCTCTCTTTGCATGCAGCTTTTGCTCAATGGGCCCGCTTGGCTTGCCAATGCGCCGCGACCGCGCCTCAGTCTCTGCCCTGCCATCGGGCAAAAAGACCAAGCCTGCGGCGGAGACACTTCGAAAGGCGGTATCGGTATCTGCAAAGTATCCGGGTCATACCCCAGGTCGGTGGGGTAAGATACCAATGGGGTATACGGCCCTGGAGCCGGGAGGGGTACCCCGGCTTGGGTATACGACAACAGCACTTGAAGGCAGGGATGATCCAGCAGATCGGAAAGCTTGATGTTGAATCCGCCAATGCTGCAGGCCCAAACTGGCCATTGCCACACCGCTCCCTTTGACGAGGCCAGTTCTTATACATGTACACTGCTCTTTCTTTCTTTCTCTCTCTCTCTCAATGCGAATTATATAAATGTATGTGCATGCATGTGAATTTCAACAACATTTTAGGCAAATGGTTTACATCGCTCCGTATGGGAAACAAGGAGGCACAACAGTCTGTAGCTCCCCCCAACTGAAGATGCCCCCAGCCCAGCAATTCACACAGCAACAAGCTGTCAGATCGCATCATGCTTGGGTTGAGACTGTCCCTGATAAGCAAGCCCATGTTGAATGAGCAGCGCCAACCCGTTCACGTTTGGCTCTGCCAACATGACTTTGATGGACATATTGTGTAAGCCTTACGACAAGAACAAAATGCAACTCAACAGGGCGTGAGGGATGGCGCTAATCAAATGCGTTCCACGTGTTGGCATCCTAGTGACCCAATGACCCCAGTAGAAGGGAACTTTCTCTATTGAGAGGAAAACCCACCAAACAAACAGAAATCTTAAGGATAGACTCTCAACAGCTGAATCTTGGTACTCCAAAGTCAAAAAAGAAACTAAGACTTGTTCAGTTGAGCTTTTTGACTCGACTCCCTCTTGAAATGTCCTTTCGGCATGAGCTTCGGATCCGTGGGGCCCGGGCAGGTCTGCTCCACCGCGAGGTTCCTCCTGGCCGCCAGCGCCAGGCGCAGCGACAGCAGCAGGGGTTCCACCTCACGGCGCTTGGTGAGGGGAACTCCCGGGGAACGCCTTCCGTTTTGAGGGGGACTTCTGGACTTCCCCTTTTTGGTGTGGAAGACCAAAGAGTCATCTTATGAGCTTTTTTGAGGGTCCCGTTCGGGCCAGCAACCCCGGGACCAAAAACAGGCATCCCCCAACCGTGCCGACTTCTGCCACCAGAGAAAACCTGTGAAAAAATGCAACATGTCTTGTTCAAAAGGAAGCCGAAAAGGGAAACACAAGCGGCATGATTTGTATTATGGGGACCCTTTGGCTGTTTGGTGGACATCATTTAGGTGGGGATTTATGTCCACCAACCACTTTTGAGGTGGTTCCCTATTACATTGCATGGCCATAGTTGAGAGCCCATTCCCATCAGAAGAACCACACGTCATTGGGAAGCCCCGCCTAGGATAAAAGGAGCACCTTCTACAAACGACTATCCAGCGGGGTTCACCTCTTACCCGAGCATGTCGGGCGGGTTGGTGGAGCAACGGCTTACCTCTTTTATGTCGTGGCAACCGCAAGTCCTGCTTGCCACTGGCAGCTACTCAAATGTTATGCCCTGCCCAAACTTTTGAATTGCTGGGACCCTACCCGCGTTGCCCCAGCCACAAAAAAGTCAAGAACAAGCGCGGCGCAAATAGTCGAAACCTTCTTGTGTCAGGGTCACGCGGCTTCTGCCGATGGTGGTTTCCCTTTGCTCCACTTACTTTACCAGGAACATGCTCATGCATCCCACGAAAGAATGCGCCGCATACTTGACCAAAAACATGCGCATGCATCCCTAAGTAGGAAGGACACGCCACTTGCTTGACCACGAACATGCCTATGTGTCCCAAGAAGAACACGCCACTTAGCCAGAAGCATGCGCATGCATTCCAAGGAAGGACACTTCCTTGACTGAGCAGAGACACAATCATGCACCCAAAGGAAAAGCGCACCACTTGCTTGACATTCCTTGTGTCACTTACTTGACCAGGAGCCTGCTGATACATACCAAGGAAGACCGCGCCATTTACTTGACCAGGAACATGCGTATCCCGGATCCCAGGAAAGAACACACCACGTACTTCACCAGGAACATGCGCATGAAGTTCAATGAAGGACACACCACCTTCTAGGACCTGCTCATGCATCACAAGGTCTTGTGTTCTTTGTCTCTCACCAAATTGAGCTAAAGCAACTGAAACAACACAACTTTTCTCGCTTCTCGTGCTCCCAGTTGCACAGGGGTTGACCATTTATGAGGGGAATGCAACATCCAACAAGAATTAATCTTAAGGCTGGATTCGACTAATCAAGTAAATCCGCTTCGCCAGGCCCATCATGGCCCAAGTTAACGCGCCTGCGCCACGTCCGCGGCGCGCAGGCGCAGCGGCACGGCGGTAGGTGCGTAGGTCTGCGGGGAGGTTTGCCAGTTTCAGCAATGGCTTGGTTCAAACATGGCCTGTTCAAATTCTGGTCAATCGACCTAATTTCGCCTGCGTTGACCTTCGATAAATAAGAAACAGATGACGCGAAGGCCAATTAAACAAGTCATTTGTGCATTTACTTGTAATCTGTGGCTGCAAGACACACACACAAGCCGTTGCATGTGAAAGGGGAGATATGCACACATGTGTGCCAGGGGATGGTGTCAGACATGGTTCCCTGGGAACCCCGTCCCTTGACCATCCCTAGTAACCCCAAGTAAGCAAGTTTGTTGATCATAGCACACATGTCAAATATAAGCTTTGGCCCCCGGAAACCAACAGCGGAACATCACATGCATATTCTGAAGCATAGATCAACTTGCAAAATGAGCTATTTGAACCACACATCCCGCGAATCGTGGAGGCACCGAATCGACTGCAATCAAAAGCAAACTTGAAATTAAAATCGTCAAAAATACGTTTTGCTTCAAGGATCAATACATAGCAGGTGTGTCACCACGAGAGGCTAAGAACTGGTAAGAACCCCCAAATGCAGATCTCTGCGTACAAGTATGACACACTCTGCATAGAACGTAGAATTACTTCAAAGAGTGACACACCACAAAGGATAGTCCACTGTCCACGGGGGAATCCAAGCGGCACACGGAATGGAGAACACTCCAAACAGGACACACTGCAAGGATGTCCCACAATCACTAGACACATGTCAAATGATGTGCGTACAGGTTACACCACAGTGAACACCAGACAGCACGTAAACAATCAAAAACCATTCTTCAAGCCACAAAGCTATGAAGCAAGGTTCACCCGCCTGAGTACACCGCAAGCAAGAATACGAAGCTACTCAACCGAATGGGAGCGATGCCACCCGATGCCACCCTGCGGGAATATGGAGCAATCTTGAAAGATCTTGAATGCGAGAGGCAGACGGCAGAAGTCCGTTGCTACTCACCAACGCAATAAGCTGTGCCTTTCTGCCCAAAACTCTCATACTTGAAAGTGCTTCTGCTCTGGGCATGAACTGCAACAACAACAGCAAAGGATGAAGGGGCATGTGTCCTCTACTTCTAACGTGAAATTCTGACAAAAGTAGGACCTCTCGAATCGTTGTTTCCCGCTTGTTTCCCTTTTGGCACGAATTCATGCCTGACCCATTCCTATAGTTGGTGGGAAACAAACAATCATGTTCAACATTTTACCCTGGTTCTTTGGTCGAACCAAAGACCAACCTAAACCAAGAAAGGGCAGTGTGGGGGGGACTGAAATCAGGTGTCTGGGCAAATCTTTGCTAGAATTCACAAGTCTGAAATACGCACCGCACTGCCCAAAAGCGCATGTTCAGTTTGGGTTCGGTTCGCAAGGCCCGTACCTTTCAGTTGTTTTTTTTGTATCCCTTAAAACATCACTCCCAAGCAAGACCCCTGTGCCAAAGAGGTGATGGTTTAAACCAAGGGAATTACTTGGATCTTTCGCCTCGTGCAGCTGTCGGGCCAGGTGCGCCAACCAGCAGCCGAAGGTCTCCTACCCGCGGCACCACTCCCACTACGCCAAGTTGGCAATGACTCCTAAAGCACGACTGAAACATTCACCTGCTAGGGATGTGATTTAGACTCAGGAAATGATGGAAACAAGGCAAACCAGGTGTGCCCCTATATAGCCATGTACCCGCAAAGGCTCTAAACCGCAAAATACCTTCCTTGTGATTGGTACGTCCTCTACATGATGTGCCGAATGACAAACTGCCTCCTTACCCTGAAGGGTCACATTGTCATTGTTGAACCATGATTTACCCTGCCGCAAATGGCCTCTCAGGCATATGGAGCAAAGGGTACCCTTGCCGACCAAGCCCCCCCTCCCAACGGCGGGAATCGATGAACCTCAGGGCCCGAGCCTCAAGGTGGCGAAGGGGAGATTGGACATTGGGTATGGTTGTCAGCCCAAAGACGGGGCCGAAACCTCAAGCCCAACAGAAGTTGGCCTTTTTGGAATAGCTGCGTGGTCAATGTTCGACCCCATATTCACCCGAACACCCTCCAAAGAGAAGCCCAAACAAAAATGCAACTTACATAAGCCCTAGCGCCTATTTCCGCGTTGTAACAGAATTGGCCAACCCGTTGCTTTCTCCAAGCCGGAGTATAGAGAACACACCCGACTCGACTCAAATCTTTCTGCAGGGGACAAAATGTAAGAAACCCAAACACCGCAACAAAAGCCCCAACGGATCATCGGATAGGCCGGATGTGTCTCGCACCTCCTCCCGGAAGTTGGGCTGCTGCCATCCATGCGGCACCGGCAGGGTGGCCGCGGCCGCCGACTCGGCGGCAAGCCACACCTGCGGCAAAGTGTAGGCATGATCGTTCCTCTCTAGCCGAATTTGCATATGAGAAGGCATATATATATAGACATATGATTGTATATGTGTGTATGAGTAACACACACACATATGTGTGTATATATATATATATATTAATATGTATATATATTCTGTGTGGGTGTATATATATATATACATAGTATGACGAGTGTGCACATATACATATATATATATATATATATATATACACATTGTAATGCACGACAGAAAACAGAATCCATGTTACGTAGATAAATCATGTCAGGTATACAGGAAATGCAAAATGTATGCGACAACAATAGTTAATGACACTAACAGTAAAGCCATTGTAATATTAGTAATACTAGTGAACAAACACAACTCTAAACAAAGCGGACTTTGCAAGCGCAACCAATGGTTCCTTTTGGTTCCCCTTTAAACGACTTCAACCAACAGAGGGCTCCGGAAAATCTAGCCCCCCACCAACTGACATGGAACCTGCCGCGAAAGGGGGGGTCCTGGTGGAAGACCATTGTCCCTTTACATGATTAAACATGCATAATCATCTGATCCAACCCTACCACAAATCAAGTCATGTTGTGGGACACCTTTGGAGTCCGGAGACGGAAGAGATCTTAGAGGAGGACCGGGCTGGTTTTGACACTGTCCCGCACCTCAGGCTGCGGACGATGGGACTTCAGACCAGTCCATTGTTTCCTCTTGTTTAACGAGGTGGTGCCGCCGCGAAGCGTGTCAATGCCAATCATGCCAGCACTGCAAACTGTCTGGGAGAGCTATGCACTTGCACCAGCCTCGAATCAGTGTATGAAAGCAACCTTCATCATGGGTGAGGTCGTAAGCCCGCTTTATGAGTCCGCTTTGCCGAGCACTGTACCTCATGCCCAGTGGGAATGATGACTGGCTGAAGCTCCTCGAGTTGTGGACATATTTTTCCTGATTCATGCTCATCAGATTAGCGTCCACCCACCAGGTTAGACTCAAAATAACAAGTGTCATTTGGAGACCCCGATGGACATATCGCAAACGGTCATTTTAATCACGTAAATCACGAATCTGAGACCCTCGATGTATGCAATGGTAACTTACGTCTTCTTTTGCGGACCCTGTGCGCGCAAAACCGCCTCAGGGGGACAGGAAGAGTCGTCTGTCGCTTTGACGTCCTGGTCTCGCTAAAAACCAACCGTGGACGAAGCCACCTGAAGATTTCTGGATCCTGGCTTCCCGAACTTGGCGGCTGACGCCAATGGATTTTCAAATCCGCCGGTTCAACCGAAAAAAAAGTCCAAGGATCCTTTGCCAAATAGCCAAAGGGCCTTCAGGTATAGGACAATGCCTTAGGGGTAGGAAGGCTCTGAGAACCTGAGGGTGGGGTTGATTTCGTCTCTCATTTCGGCAATTTCGCTTCCCGCAACGTGAAATGGGTTCAATTTACACATGACCCCCCAAGAAAACTGACGGGCCATAATGATCATGCCCAAGGCCACCTAAAGGTATGGAGCAACTCGAAAACACAGGCGGATGGGTGTCCGAGCTTGTGTGGCATGTGTGTCCCAGAAGTAAGGAGCGGAACTTCTATTGCACCTTCCAAAGCATTGAAAGGCAGCGTTGACACATGTGCAAATGGTACGAGTAGGTTCCAAACCAGCCTGCTAGCATCCAGAATGAATGTCTGCATTGGTTGTGTGGTTGCCTTCCACTACTGAAGGAAAAAGGACATTTCTCACAGGAGCTTAACTCCCGTGCTTCGTTGACGAGCCAAGCCAAGGCCAACAAACAAACCATCGGAGCAAAACAGGACGAGAATCACGAAAGTCGCTCAAAGGGCACGTAAGGAGCGCACATGAAAAGTCAAGCTGTGCAGCCTGTCCAAGCTGCCCAAACGCTTTTAGCCCTGGTTCGAGAAAGCCTCATTTCACGATTTGTCGCCTATTGCTGGATGCCAATGCGAAGCGAATTGTCAGCTTCGGTGTCAAACTCTTGTTCGGGCATAAGGTTTGCTCAATTCTTCCCATTGCGTCTTTGGTCATGTTGGGGCTTCCTGCGAGGTTTGCTCAACATTTGCCATTTTGTCTTTGGTCATGTTGGGGTTCGGGAAATGGGGGGGACTCACTCATGTCTAAGTTCCATTTTGATTCTCAGCACAGGGTGACCGTGGCTATTCTGTTATGCAACTGCCGTTGGGCAGTATGATGGCTCATTGAAGCATTTGCGCGTGAGAGTCGTTCTAAACTTCAACGTGCCCTAAACACACACACACACACACACACACACACACACACACACACACACACACACACACACACACACACACACACACACACACGCACTCAAGCCAGAAGATTAGGTATCGATTTGTTGGAGAGTCGTGGAATTGAGATTTCTTTGGAATGGTGATGGTGTTCAAAAGCAAACCAAAAAAAACATATACTCTCTTACAAATTCGTTTGGAACCTCAGGCGGTCCTTCCTCAAATGAAACTACTTTGAGTCTGCCGTGAAATGGCTATTTTCCAGCTCTTTTTCGGGTTGACCTTTTGGATGTTGACAGACAGGAACCAACCAGCAAGAGACGATTCTTCGGGGTGAGCCAGAAGACACAGCCACTGTCCAGTTCAAAACCGATCTGGACGCCCGATCTGGACGCGTGCCCGGCCCCAACTCCCCTTCCTGTGGTTCGCGTGATGCGCGGAGCTCGGCGCAGTAGAGGAGATGCCTGGACTCGCAAAGCGCTTTACTCGTCTGTGGACACTCGCCTGAGAAGGAAAAACCGGAAATCCCAAGCTTTGCATGTGCCAAGAAGTTTGCTTTAGGGCAACGCCCTTTGGGGTTTTCAGTTGTGGGGAGGGACGGGTGTTTCCTCAATCGCTGCGTATGTTCAAACAACAAAATCAGCCACCAATTTGGACTGGTCCTGTATGGGAGCACCTACATAAGCCATGGTATCGTCATGGAATAATATAGAAACTCCTAGGTTGTTTGAGTTTCCCAGAACGGGCTGATGACCACCATCCCCACCTCCGCTTCAGAATTGAGCGAACCCCCTTGCCCCTTTGAACCATGTTAGACAATCACAGGAAACCTCTACGAACTGGGAGGCTCCTTTTTTGGTGAAGCATAGAGTTGGACTCCGTGAAAAGAAGGTCTCTTCACTCATAGATGGAAATGGTGCAACTTGGGAAATCGTGAAAGGCACTAAACCCAGGACCAGCCCAGGCTACATATTCTTCCTGGCTCAGACGCATGGCGAAACAGAATCACACCCTCGCGCTAGTTGAAATCAAAGGGTGGATCCCGCTGGCCAACAGGGATAGTCGACTCCGGACTCTACGCATTCATCATGGGGAGTTGTTTCCGTAAAAGTGAAGAACCAGCCTAAGATGGACTATGTCAATCAAACAGTGATTCATTGATCCACTGGGTTCCCATTGCTTGAAACTTCGGCCCGGTCAGTGACTAAGCAACTCCAGTTGGCCTATCCATTTGATTGACAGAACAAAAGTGGGCTGTTGCCCATCACTCACTCACCAAGCGGGCCAAGTATCCATTTCCTACTGTTCACCGAAGACTGGCGCCAAATATCGAGTCTACCTTTTGACGGTAAGGCCCCGATAACCAAAAACTAACTATTACCCCACAGCATCAAACCCAGCACCTCAGGGAGTCAGCAAAATCTCTGCCAAACACTCACCTCCACCCAATACGCGGATCGATCGCGGCGCGATCGCGGCGCCTGAGCTTCATGACCGCGGCCTGGCTCATGGTGTCCCATCCGTCTTCCAAGCCGCGCAGCAGCTCCCGGGCCTCGGATTCGAAGGGCGACCCCTTTGGGTCCGCTCGGAAGGTCCCATAGGAGGGAGCGGCAGGGGGGCGGACGGGGCCAGAAATGGAACTTCTAGAACTAGTCTTTTGTTTGGAACTTGGCGGTCCTATTGCAGCCAAGCCACTTGAGTTCGCCACTTTGGGCTTAGCAAGAATCCAAGCCCGTTGTCGGGTACATTGTGCACCAACGTCGACTCAAAAGGACAACACTTCAACGGAATAAAAGAATCACGACAATTTACTTCGGCGCTCTTTGGGCAATCACACATCTCGGTTCTTTAGCACCCTGAAAGGATACCGGCATGAGACCAAGAAGCTAAGTGGGTTGGCTTCGGCACATTGCAGTCAAATATTATTTTCGGAAGAACACTCGCTTAACCATGGCCCAACACTCTTAAAGGGTCCATCACCAGCCCTGGTTTTCTGATGGATCTTGGACTTTGACACTGGCAGCTACTGCGATGTTGCCGGTGCGACAAGTTTAGCTTTTGGCTTCCTCTACGGTCCTGTGTTCGTTGTGGGCCGTGTACGCGATTCCTCAGTCCTGCGTTCTCTCGTGTGGGGCTGAGCAAAGGGGGGGAATTGGATGATCTCTTGGTATTCCCCAGGTCGGCGCTCCCAAAACAAAGAGCAATCAACAGGGAGAGTTCCAACTCGACTGCGCAAGGTTCCCTATCACGCATCAACCGGCCACATCAATCACCCACTTTCGGTTGACAAACTCGGAACCCTAAGGACGGGGCTGGAAACAAATAAGCTCAACGTGGCAACACACCCCCGGCAAGATGCAAGTGTTGTTTAAGTTGTTTCCAGTAGTCAAGTTGGCAAGGACATCTGTTGCCTTCTGGTCCCCTTAAAAAATGAGGGGCTGTCAACTCCAAAAAAAACAACCAAACAAAAACACGAGGTCGTTGTCTCGACGGTTGTCCCCTAGTTTCAAGTTGCAGTTTTTGGCCCAGACGTTTCCCCCAGCCGACTCCGCGGCCGCAGACGCCCCGAAAGGCCCGCCTCTCCGTGGATCTGCCAGGCCCAGTGCGCCACGGCCGCGCGCTGGCGACGCCACTCCGCCTGTGGCTGACCAGTCCCCTCCCAAAGCCGCAAGGGGACATGAGAAACGACACATGACACAGAGAGAGAGAGAGAGACACACACAAACACACATGACACGGATGTTTGAACATGTTTCAGCCAAAAGAGGACAAATTATTAATTATCTGCCCAACCACGTTTCTGTGACACCTGACTGCAGCTTTCCCCTTAAACGGGATCCTGGGTTTCATGGCAACGTGGCTGGCAGGGTAGGACAAGGTCATCATGCATCTGGTCAAATTACTAAAATTTACAAACTTGGAATGAGGAATCTTCAAGGTAAGGAAAACACACCAAACAGTAGATAGCTGCGACAAAACAAGATGGGCGCCCTTTCGAAAGAAGGCTCTGAGCAGAAACCAAATCTCGCAAGTCTCGGGTGAGCACGCTGTGGGGTCGGTATGTCTTCTGGATGAACCTCCCCAGTCCCTCTCAACGCGACGTGGCTATCCGTGGCCTGCAGCGGCGTGTCCCCCTCGTTCGGCCTTGCGGGGCTCCAATTCGACCCCATCGGCCAGAAGAAACCGTTCAGCGTTTACCCTCGCAGGGGAGCCGTTCAAAGAGAAGCCGAATGGAGTTGGTTTTCAAGGACGGCTGTTTCATGCGTGCTTTGGTCTGAACTTTGATGCCTCGCGCGTCTCACTTGACTGAAGATTCTGGCAGGTTAAAGCAGCTCACTCAACTCGCTTGTGGCGGGATCTACAGACTACAGACTACCCGCGTTCTATCAAGGATTCGCATTTGCCTTTGATTGCATCCAGTGCATTGTTTGCGTTGATGCGTGTGTAAGTTCTGCACCATGAACAAATGCAGCCAAGGTTTGCAGCTTCGAGCCAACATCATAGACCTGGGAGGGGCCCAAACAATCCCAAGCACGTCCAACAAAAAGCAGCCTCATTCACAGCATCCTGAGTAGCACTTTGAAGTGGGGGTCAGTCCCAGTCTCCCAACTCACTGCCCGAAGTTGCAACAGACATAGCCGATTCCTTACATTTTGTCCAGCGCCAGGACGCCCAAACTGGGAATGTTTGAGCAACTTGCAGGAAGAAACACCTCCCAGCCCTGCATCGAAAGACAGGCGAACCATGTCCTTCCCAATCGCAAACGGAACTGCGGCCTTAGCCTTGAAATGAAAGCGAGAGCCCTCACAAAAACACAGAACTCGTCACCAGGAATTGACGAAACCCACGTCTTGTCGGGGGATTTGGGTAACCAACGTGAGCCTCGTTTCGCTGGAACCCACGGCCAGTCTCGAGCCCTTAGCGCCTCATCGAAGTGGACAGTGTGCAGGTCTCCACGCACAGCAGCGTGGCCTTTCGTGGGCGGTTCGGCTGAACGGGCGAGCCGTGGGTATGTTAAGCTGAATCTTAGTATTTTTGCCCCCTCCAAAGTCTTACTCTCATCCTATTGGAAAATAATGAAACACAAACACACACACACACACCAAAAAAAAACAATCACTACCCCCTCCGAACAAGTCTATCTCTCCGTCCATCCATCAAAGCAGACCAAAGGTGTCGCCAGCTTCGAGTCTCGTTGCCTTCAGCAGCTCCGCCAGGGCCGTCCTCGACACGCTCTGCGTCATCGGCTCGAAGATGCGCTTCGCCAAGGCTCCTGGAACTCCGTTGTGGATCCGTGGAACCCTGCCACCCCTTTTTCACATGGAACCTGACAAAAGGGGACCTGGTCCCTTTAGGTTCCATGCTAATTGGTGGAAGGGTACTCTGTATATTTCTGGCTAGGGGGTTGGCTCGTTTGGGAATTCGTCAAGTCCAGATTTAATGAACCCTCTGGGGATGGAACCGTGAAACCACAAGCCATGGACTCCTTCCATAAACCTGGCAGCCCAAACGAATCCTTTCCGCTTGAACCGCACCTTTTGAGGCCTAGGATCAGCTTCCTGGACGACGCAAAAAATGCGCACCTGCAACACCGAAACGAGCTTCTGGTTCCGCTTGCTTCGCAGGCACTCCCCCACTTTGGGGGCTTGTGATTCAGAAAGCCTTCTGAAAATCACGCCTTGTTAGGGCTTAACCCTTCCCTAGAAAATCGCCCCCTTCAACGCCGGGCTCTTTTCTCTTCAGGACAAGGTGAAACGGAAAAAACCGTTTCACGCTGATGGGGACCCAATTGATTCGTACACCTTGGCTGATGAAAAGGATGGTCCTAGCTTGGAGGGGACCCCTCATGTTTGACGAAACGCCCCCTATATATTGAAAGGTCGATTCATCCAGGGAGGAAGTTACCCGCACAAGGCGTTAGTTTCTTGTTGACGCACCCCCCTGTTTTATCACGCAAATCTCTACAGTAGTTGTTTGACGTGCCACCGCAACATAAGATACTGAACGGCCACGCGCATTGCCTTTGCAAAGCAACAGGGATACCTTGAGCAACTGAAAGCAACACAACCAGTGAGCAAGAAGCCAACCTTTCCAGCTGTCAGAATGCTGGTGGTGCTTGAATAGCCTTGAACCTTATGTACATCCTAGGAAGGCTCAAACAACAAGAACAACACCAGACTTGTAACTCTTGTTCAACATACTGCCGGATGAATGCTTCTGACAAGTCAACCGGTAGTCTCACTTGCGTCCAGTGTGCCAACTAAAACGTCCCACCTGCACTTGCCTGGTGATGTACCTTTGGGCTCACTTGACTGCACTGCGGTATCATGAAAGCCCCCCCACCACACCTGAACGCATTGGGCTGGCTTTTGGGATGCTGGTTCGCTATGTCTCTTCGTGAGTGTGGCACAAGTCAAATTGAAGGAACTTTGCCAGGGAACTCTGATTACCCAGCTTCGTTCCGCACCAAATGCAGATCACGCGCAACACCAGTGGCTGTCGCATTATGCGGGGCAAACCTCCTCTTGATGCGGCCATCACAACACATAAGACATAATCAAATCCTGCTTGCAAAGGAGAGCCTCGAACAATAAAACAGGAGAGCTGCAACAATTCATAGTGGGCACTGTCTTCCATTTTAATCTTCATCTAGCCAGGTTATGATCATGGCTCAGCTGCCGCAGTTGCCCTTCGCCCGCACCTTCTGCAGACTCCTCCTGCGAGGCTAATCCGGCGACAGCAACAGGCTACCACACGCCCTCACAACTGGACAACTGCCGACACTGCGGCGTTGCGAGAAAGCAACGCACATTGGGGGGCGACGCATGGACATTCATGGAACAATTGGGGTGCTATGCAGGAAGTGAGCCACATCAAAAGACAGTCCAAATCGCGGAAAGAACCGCCCTGCAGATTGACACGGAACGGCCAACGACTGTGTCTAAAGGAATCTTTTCAATTGGAGGACCCTACTCTTTTTGGGTTCGGCTTCACGAAGAGCAACAACCGACGGATGGTTTCAACTGGCACATTGCCCGCCTCTGTGCAGCTTCCAATCTCGCCTCGCACGGACCCAAACCCGCGTTTTGGATGGGTTGCTCACATGTCGCCTAGCAGCACACCAGAAGAACATGCATAGATCGAAATATGAGGACACCTGCACATGGAAATCTAGAATTGTGTCTTCTCAAACAAACACAAGCTCGCGTCTGGCCGCACTTGTCGATAGTGGAACATTCATCAGCACCAAAGACCAACGTATTCCTGTCTGTAAGCATCCCCGACTGTGAGCTTTTCTCAGCAACAGGTGCAGCGAGCACAGTCTGGAACAACCCGAACTGGCTCCCCAAAAAATTAGATGGTGACAAGGGTAAATCATGAACGCTGCCAGCTGCTGGATCAACAAGACACACCACACTATCAAGTTACAATCTTAAGTCCTACCAGCGGCGTGCTTTTCTCGGCAATCTAGCACTCAATACAGGTGTGACATATCTTGGAAGAGAAGTGTCCACTTTAAATGTCCTTCAACAAAAGGGGAAAATGCTAAAATTGGAAAACCAAACTCAGCGCCGAAACCTGAGATGACGCCTTACTGCTCTGTCCAAAGGGGACTAATGGATGCAGTGCGGGACGCGCAAAGGCCAGCTCGACTCGGCTTTGACACTCCCTGCAAATCCCCCTTACCCGCCGAGAAGGACATCCCAAAGGAAAAAAGCCATTTGGCCTCCAAAAGTGGATGTGTAGTCCATTTCAAACGGGGAAATACAGGAACACGTGTTCAACCCGACCATGGCCAACGGCTTGCTTCTGAAACAAAAAAACTCAAAAATATGCTTGCTCTCAGCGGGCGTTGAAAGAACCAAGATGCGGAGCCAAGGCGCTGGGCAGCTGCGGCAGCTCCGGGATGCGGATTTGCAGCATCTCCACCCCCGAGACCTGAGGCGACCCCCGAGATCTGACTGGCTGGGGAACATCACCTCCGGTTGTCTGGTTTCCACAAGGCTCGGGTGTGAGGGGAGTAAACGTTTGAAGACACCTTGAGCCCAGGAGGCTTTTGGGTGGCACTTAGTTAGTGATGAATTACGAGGATCTCCTCTTCCCGGAGAGATGCCTCATCCATGACTGCGGGTGGGTCAACATGCCCCAATGATTTTGGCGGCTCCTGTAGGCGCCAGCCGTTTGCATGTCAAACAGCGGTTGCAGTTGGGTGAATCGGGGACTCGATGATTCCGCGTCAGTTCGGGGACTTCAGCCAGGCAACGTGGACAACGGGTCCCTGGCCAACCGGTGGCAAGAAACTTTGACCATGGCAGTCAAAGAGGCGACAGAAGCAAAGAATCAAACCTGCAGTGCCAAGAACAAAGACCCCTTTTCATGGCCCTTGATCACCGTAGAACTCGATTCCGCCCAGGGTCTGAGACTCCTCTAGAAGTTGAGTTACATCTTCATCTGCAGGAGAGTAAGTAGCAACATTGTGGTTCACACCGTCACTTCCAGAGCGTCCAGAATCCGAAAAATGCGCAGGTCGTATGCGCTGTTGGTCGATCAAGTTCCAGCTTGCGACAAGGAACAATATCCTCTGTGGGCATTTCTGAAGTGCAGCAAGTTCAGTCAAAGCTAAAGCAAGACATGTGCTGTTTCTTGCAAGCCACTAGGCCGCAGGGCGAAAACACTGAGGGTTGATTCTAAAGGGAAGAAAGCCCTCGCCAAACAAACACTGGAAAAACAAATGAGGGCACTAAATGTCGCACAGCTCCCAAAAGGGGGTGGTGCTTCATTTATTGCGCCGGCCCATTACGTTTCATCACATTGCAAGAGCAGTTTGTCCCCCATTGCCTTTTCTGGGCTGGACCAAAAGCTTTACTGGGTTGCACCCCCACCGCCCACAGTGATGGAAGAATGCGAGAAGGGATTGGCCCTTGCATTGGGCCTCCGCACTTTCCTCGGCTCCGCCTGGAATGTTGAGATGTAAGCCACAGTCAAGTCTAATTTTCAGAACTGACATGAGAGTTTCCTAAGTGATTAACCCCTTGCCTCATACTAGTTTGGCAAGTGCGCCCCATACAAACCCCCGCAACCGCCCCATGTTGCTCATGGTGCATATTGAGTATTGCTCACATAGAGGACTACGACAGGTACGAGCACGTGAAAGACTTTTTGGCTCGACACCGATGGTTTTAAAAGTTGAATCAACTAATGTTGGCTCCAGCCAACGAAGACAACACGTCAAAGTTAAGTCGATTGAACCAGTCAGTAGCATAAAGCAGAATTCTAGCATGAAACGGATCAAAGAATACCAAAAGCTTCCTGTTTCAGCTTTGCGGGCAAGTCAGGAAATGCCTGCTTCCAAAATATCCCTGATCTGTAATATCAGAAAGAGACACCCCCCGCATTTTTACACCGTCCATCGAGACTGGTGCGATACCAGCCTTTTGCTTCTCCTCGGACTCCGGGCTGGCCTGCGAGTGTTGACTCAAGACACCGGATGTCCAACCCAAACCTTGCTCCGCCACAAGGAACTCTCGCTGAACCACTTGGCAAACACAGGGGTTTCAACTAGAATTCCCGCTTCAACGAAAACAATGGCCTACCAAACGGAACTCACGAAACTTACCCCTTAAAACTCCAAGCCCTGGGGAAGTTAACCTTTTACAGACATATAGCCCATGTTACCAAAAAAGTTGAAAAGTTGTGTTTTTAAGAGGTAAGGAAATAACCAACCGGTAACCAACAAATGGTTTTGTTCAAACCATCCGCAAATTGGGAAGGCAACGAAACCTGCCCCAAGCAGGGGCCGGCTGTCTTACTGTCTTTGCTTTCGTTATTTTCTTTCTGTTCCTTCTGTTGTTGCTGTTCTTTCCGTTCCTTTCGTTTCTTAGTTGCTATGTTTATGTTTACATTCCTCTTGTTGTCTTCACTTTGCCTGATTCCAGTTTTTGTGTGTCCTTTGTTTGCACTCTTTGTGTCCTTCCTTCCTTCCTTAATTCCTTCCTTCCTCCCTCGATCCCTTCGTTTCTGCATTTCGCTCAACCTTTCTTTCGTTTTGCTATTCGCTTGTTGTGTTTCTTTCTTTAGTTCTGTCTTGCTTTCTCTCCAAGGGTGATGCCCTCGACAAAACAACCGAACAATGTGAAACCACGGAAGAAGAAACTCAACGATGAGGTCTAAAGCCACCCACAAAGGCGGAAACAAATGATGGGGAACCCTGTCTTTGACGGGCGCTTAACACCGACAGTGAGGTTCGCCGCCATGTTGCAATTTCTGGTGCCGCACTTCTGCAGCCAGCGGCCACTGGATTGCCCCAAAGCAACAGTTGATTTATGTTCTGGTGAGTTCCATGGAAACAAGCCCCGGCAGTCCCTATGTTCACCACCCCCGCACATGCGGTCCCCGCCTGACTCGATTCGCGCTGAAAGAGGAGGGAGTCCTCGCGAACGAGGAGGGAGTCTTCGCGGACGAGGGGCTCCTGGCGCAGTGGAGTGTATGGGTGTCAACTTGGTGTGAACGTTGATCAGGGGCCCTTTGGCGGACATCATTGAGAGGATCTACCCTGGAACAGTTTTTTTGTCGGACCGCCTCCAAAACACCTAAAACGGCGGAACATGTTTTGAAAGGTTGTCCATGCCCTTGTGCTTGCTGCTAAATCAATCAGTCTGGGATGTTGTACCCATGGTGTGCTACATCAAACAAAGGTGTCAGTGGATGACCCGCATGTAACAAACATGCAAGCGCAGCCGAGGCGAGGCATGCCAATTGAGGATATGTTCGGGGGTACAATGAACGAATGTGATCCACCACAAAACTTCCAAGCTGACTCTGGTTTAGAGGCTGTGGAGAAGCTCTGCTGTCGCAAACACATACACCCACATTGACCCGTTCAACCACGGTAAGGAATATGCTGTCGTTGACACTTGACAAACTATGTTAAGCATCATATTCTGCGCACAGCTGCAGAGGGTGATGGATGGTTCTGCACTACTGCCGCTCTGCATTCTGCCTTTTTTGGGCATGTAAAGCTGGACTGACTGAGTCAACCAAACCAGAATGACAATAAGAAGCCGACTGTACCCTGCCCTAACCCTTTTTTGAACCCAATGGTCCTTCTCTCTCTCTCTCTCTCTCGCTCTCTGCCTGCCTGCCTGCCTGCCTGCTGTCTGCCTGTGTCTCTGTCTCTGTCTCCTGTCCATTTCTGTCGGTCTGTCTGCCTGCCTGTCGGTCTGTCTGCCTGCTGTCTGTCCCTTCTTGCGGGGGGAAACCAGTTGCTGGACAAGGTTCTTCACTTGACACATGCCGCCACCGATGATCTTTTCCGCCAACTAGTGGCTGTCATCAGTGTTTAAACCATCACTGCCCAAAAACAACTAAACATCCATCCCAAGGAAGCTTCGTTGGTTGCCTCATTCAATCCCAACTTGGTCTCAATACCTGTGTTCAACCAACATTGTTGCCCGCACCGAATGACGCTCACTCTTGGACGTGGGTTGGGAATAATGCAAGTTCTGTGCAAATAGCAGTAAATCGTGGCTTCAGTGAGATCACTGGAAAGCCTGCAAACGTCCAACTTCGCATATTCGAATCTCAGATTCGAATACGGGGCGCTGGCAGGCGCAGCATTGTCATTTGCTCGAAGCAGGACTGGTGCGCAGGCAGCTTGTGTCTTCAAAGCAGGACTGCGGCTTGATTCCGTCAGTGACATTTTGGAATACCACCAACGCTTTGACGCATTCAACCCAGGCCCTCTTAGATATCTAAAACCATCGGCGTCAAAGTGCCGACGCGTCACATAAGCACATGAAATGGGACTGTGCAGTTGGAGCTCCAGTTGCGAGCACACAAATGGCGCAGAAGTCGCACGGCGGGTGGGACTTTTTTCAGACGGATTGGCCTTGACATGTTTGAAACGTGGACCTGTGTTCTTTCCATCCCACCCCCCCACCCACCCACCCACCCGCCCGCCCACCCACCCACCCACCCACCCACCCACCCAACTCCTTCCCTTCCCCCCCTCTCGACAGCTGCGAACATGCTGAGGATTGGCAATGCGCGGGCCGCATGAAAGTCCGGGTTTGCGCGGGCCGCATGAAAGTCCGGGCAAACCCCCGAGCCACTTCACAAATTTAAGGTGAACCAAACGGTGGACGTACCAAGGTTAGTATTCCAAGCGAAACCGAAAGGATTCGAGGGACATCCCCCTGCCAAAAAGTGTGGCTCCACTCCACGCATTCCACTCTATTCAGCCACCACTAAGCTTGGTTGCTGTTGACCCCCCTGCAAAAAGTTTAACTTTTTGGGGGTTTAGTGGAAAACACCATTATTTCCCAAAAAGTTAAAGTCTTAAAGATCCAACCCAATAGCAGTCAAGTAAGTGCAGATCGGCCGTTTCGCCGCTTTCTGGGCGCCGTGTCTGGGCGCCAGGCCCGGCCCCCGCGTTTCTCTGGGGCCGCCGGCGTGGGGCAGCTGCGGCAGCTTCAAGAAGCCCCGGGAAGGGCTGCTGAAGGTGAGGACCTCGGCGGTTTCCGCGTCCCTCGGAAGCCGCTCGGAACCTCCGGTGGCTTCTGTGGTCCAAGCTGCTCACAGTTTGCAGAGTTCACAGGCCAGGATCGGCCTTCTTAGGCCTAGGCTTGTGTCCCACCTTCACGAAAAGTATACCCTCCCACAACTAATATGGCACCCATCAGAAGGCCTGTCTTAGAGGAGCCCACAGTCAGGTTCCACGTTGGTGGGAGGTAAAGTGCGGACACTGGCTGGAAAAGAGAGTTTGCATGAATCAACTGGGCGCTCCCGGCCAAAGTGAAGATGGCTTCACAGGGTCCGACCGACCGCAGCGCGCTCATGGGGTCCACCAGCGGAAGTATCTGGAGCGTCCGGGGCTACGATCCGATCGCATTCCGAGCGATAATCAGAGGTGGTTTGGGAAAATGGCACAATTTCCATAGGAGTGGTAAAAAAAAAAACGAGATTCATCCGAAACTCACAAGCCACACCTGTCTCTGACCGCCAGGCTCTGTTAGAAACAATGGCCGGAGCAGTTGAGTCAGCGAAGCAAGTTGGGAACATGAAAAAGGTTTGTGATCACTTGAGTTGCAACCACATAGGTGCATGATGTTTTATGGCAGCTTGCTTTCGGCCTTGCAGATTTAGAGGAATCTTTCTGAATCTCTATGGTCGTCATGCAACATCCTGACCGGGTTCCTGTATTCAGCCAGGCGAATCTTAAAGATCAGCTTTGCTGCCTGTAGATGATTTTACAGCCTGGAACCATCGAGTACGTACCAACACTAGGGACCTCGGCGAACGCTGGCCTTTGAACTTCCCCTCTGGCCGGTTTCAGGTTGGTTTCCTAGACGCAACGGGTTGACCTCACTGCAACCAGAGCGGCTCCGGCTTCCCTCAGCCTTCCCAAGGGCACCCCTGCAATGGCTAAGAAGAGTCATCCAATTTCTGGGCTCCCAAATTCCATGACTGGAAATACCTATTGGAAAAGGCAATCCATGACTTGCGATTTGTCGCTGATTGCAAAAGGCTCGCTAGGCAATACCATCTCCCCGCTCAAGAAAAATTAATTGCATGCCGCGAGTTTTTGGGGGAAATACTCGTCGCATCGATATGGCTGCAGCTGATCCGGTCACCAGCAAGGAGAAGGACCATGTATCTGGAGCCCAAACCATTTTCAACCATCGAAATACAGTCATGTGAGGTGCGGTCAATTCACTGTCTCCCCAACTGACTGCACGTTTGCGGAGTACACCCCCACCAGCTAGGGGTACTTTCCTGAGTATGCCCAATGTCATCCCCCCCTCCCATTTGCAGCAGTAGGTGCTAGCTGACTTGTGTACTTGCCTAAATCAGGATCCTTCTGACGCAAATCCAGAGGGGTGTTTCCTTAAATTGAAGACCCAACAAATGCTTTCCCTCTTACCAACAAACCAAAGGACCCTCATAATATGAGCAGCATCCGAGACTAGACTTTTGGTTCTTCCGAGATGCTATCGGTTAATGAACTAAATTTTAGTCAGAACCACCCCTCCCCCCCCAAAGTCCCTCAATGACAAGATGTTGCCGGCCTTGGGGACTGCTCAGATCACTGGATAATGGTTGTGCCCCCAATGTCCTCAACAGTAGACTCAAACCATCAAACGTCGTGCTAGTTGCTGTGCAGGAAATTCGGTATTGTCGCTCGTGCCTTGAGTGCCTCCTGCAGCTGCGTCTCCGCAGACTCATCTGGGTCTAGCCCAAGGAGAAATGAAGGGCTCAGGTGACTCGGATGTGGTTTTGGAGTGTTCCCAAGCGTCTCTATTGTTCACCAAGTCCCAAGCTATCCACATGACACCTTCTGTTGATCCGAACGCAAGCAGTGCGTCAGCCTATGCGACCTCACATGGTTCAGCAAGCAACTGCTAGAAGCTCCTCAGAGATCCTGCTTGTTGGTCGGCTAAATCGAGTGGACAACCTCTTAATTGACCAAATGACCAATTGTATTCAGGGTTGTGGGAATGCTCATTTGTGTGTGTGATACCCCTGGAAGGCTTCAAGGACTAACTCTCGATTTCAAGGGAGATCATTCCCACGAGTTGTTGACTTGGCTCACCCATCGAGCGGTCAAAGGGCCTTGGCTCAGGCGATCGATGGCATCCACCTTGGAGCCGCGAGTCAAGCCGATGTTTATTTAGGGTGATGCACCATTCTTGCGCTTCACATTCAATCTTGGGCATACTGGGCATTACAAAGCTTTGACCAAAGCGATTAGAAAAGTTGCAAGAAACTGGCGACACATATGAATGACCCAATTCTGCTTTCTATTTCAGCCTCACACAAACATAGACCAACAGAAGAAATCAATAGCCCTCTCGAGAGGAAGCAAACAAATGACGTTTTCCGGGCCTGCCCCAGAATATCTAGTGTACAAATTTGAGTTAGACCTGTGGCCTATTTTTCTGCCCATCCAAATACCGGAAAGGCACAGAGGGACAGATATTACATCCTCGCAGAGAAACAAACAACAAACATGCTCCCTTAATCGAAAAAACGCAAGGGGCACGCAGCTCGGATGCTTACTTTTTTTTTGTTCAGGTGGTGCTTCCAGTTACCGCTGTATCTTGGATTTTCCCCCGGGGCGTTGCTTCCAGATTCCAGTTTGCCTTGGTCAATGGCTTGCCAAGAACCGGCCACGGGAAATGCCAAGGGGCTACTTGCACGAAGGCCATCCAAGGCGTGTCCGTCCTGGGCCCGGCGATGCAATGGCGATCAATTTCACGTGCCCTGACGGATTCCTGCAACAATTCGACCAACCCGATTGGATGACAATTCATTTGGACAGGAGCAGGCATGATTGCCATCCCCCCAAAACACACATGGGTCCCACTGCCTACAGCAGAGGAGTGATTTCCAAGCAAACGTGGAAATCCACTTGGCGAACTTGGAGCCCGGGGCTCCTTCTCCTGACGTCTTGAAGCATCCCCGCACAAAAGCGGTCTATGGGATTGAAAGGCAAAACTGGGCTGCACACCAAGTCACTCTCTGCCGGGCAACAGCTAGGAAGCTCAAAACAACACCAAAGTATGCGAACTCCAGCACATTCTGATCTGGAAGATGCGGCTACTGTACATTGCCCCACGAGAGAAGCCAAGCATCAGATCGGTCTGCATTCTCAATTCAATTCTACACTCACAGATTCAGTAAGTTCTACATTCAGACCTGAAGCTGGCCAACGAATCAGATGGTGAAGAAAGCTATTGTTTACTGATTGGGACACACTCTTATCAAAGAAGGCTTTCTCAGCTACATGCAAAGCCAGCAGCTCGCCATGCTCATCGTGGTACCACATGACCTCGTCCACTGCGAGCTCCTGGCACCGTGCACTGAAGTTGAAGCAATGTGTCAACACCTCAAGTACAGAAGTAGCCCTGCACTAGGCAGCTGATTCTATATGAAGTGAGAGGTACATTTGTTGCAACAGCTATACATGCAACCAGCAAGATCGACTTCTTACATGAAGGTCTTTTCCTCACCACACACACATGACAAGGCCCCAAAGGGTGCTGATTACAACATATCCGAGTCAGGAGCAGGACTTAGCTTCAGTTCGGAATGCGTTGGTTGCCAATGGCAACAAATGTCAGCTGTTTTAACTGACTTTCAAGTCTCTTCCAGCAGCTCATAAGTGATGCGGGTACCCGCAGCAAACAGCAGCCGTTGCCGATGTGAGTGAGGCAATGCCCACCCGATTGGCGCTACACTGAAAATGCCCCTTTGGCTTCAAGGCTCTTTCAGCTCTTTCCTCAAACGGATCAACCGGCTGCCACAAATGGAACTCCAGATGTCGGAATCCAGTCTTCCCCCAAAATTTCCTTCCCGTTCAAAGTGGCCGCCAGGATTGCGCCAAACATCATTGGCTGAGGCGCCTGGCCGTCTCTGCATTCCTTTTGGAAGCCTGAAGCTTTGCGCAAGGCCTGCCTTTTGACCCTTTCTGAGAGAAAAAAAGGCGGAGCCCACAATTGAACATCCCCTAGTGGTTCCCAATGGGTGCCGAACACAGAGACCTTCATAAGCTGCAGGTGCCCATGCTCCCAAACGCGCCTGCCTCCTTGCGCGTCTTCCGCGAGACCTGAGCTGGGCCAACCTGGTGACCCCGCACATGGGAATCCCTCATGCTCACGAATCTGCAACGAAACAAATGCAATAGCAAAGAGGATTGCACGGACCTCAAAATGGCGCTGGCCAACGCTAGTGCCAAGTGATCCCTAAATTCAAAGCAGGATTGCCTTCAGAAATACTAGAGGTCAAGTGGACACTTGCGAAATAGCCTCTCCTAACCATGATTGTGTTTCCGGATGGAAAGTGCTGACATCCGCTTGGGCATCCGCTCGACATCAGCTTTTCAGAAATTCCACCTGCACAGCAAACCAGAACGGCAGACACCATGACTTCTCCATAAGACCGGAAGAAAGTCGACCCATGTCGACCCCATCCTTTCTGTCTTCCAACGCACCAGGCGTCCAAAGTCATCGATCGAGAAGACCGGATCAGCCAAACGAGGCCTGGTGGACATCCCTCATCTTCATCGAGGCCACGAATGAAACCACGAGGATACCAGAAATCAAGTAGAAGTTCGAGTGTTCAGCCAAGACAAACATGGAGTACTCGGGAAACGGGAAGCTACCATCATGCTTCGAGGTGGCTTTCATCTCTCCCGTGAGATGCACTACGTCGGACATCAGCTCGGAGCGATACCACAACGCCAGGATAGCCATGGCGTGGAAGCGGTCTCCGAGAGACCGAGACGTGGCAACTTCTTGGGGCTTCTCGTGGGACTCGGAAGCAGCAACACTATACAAGGGGTTGCTGGCGAAAATGAGCTGTAGGATCTGCTGAAGGAAATTTGGATTCACCATCATCACATTGATAGTCACGTGGAAGAAGATGGCTGTGGGGCAGAAGATCGAACGCCCTGATGCTTGCTTCGGGCACTCGTTTGCGCTCAACACGCCAAGCACCGGAAGAACCAGTTCCATAACGAGATTGCCCCAAGACATCAATGAATGTGAAAGGACAAGGAGTCGAGCCGGAGGCGGCACTTCTGTCACCTTCCTGCCCACTTCTCTGGCCACCCAGTGGCCAGAAATGTTGTCCCAAAGCCCTTCGTATCTCAGCTTGTTTACGCCTGCGGAAAATTACAATGGCAGGTGTGACGGGGCTGGTACGTAAGTCCAATGATGGCAAAGTACACGTAAATCAGAGCTCCACCTGTAGATGGCCGTTGCGGCGCGTTGGTAGCCTGTCTTGGGTAGAACTAGGAAGATGCACCAGGAAACCAACAAGATCTGGCGAAACAAGCCGCCCATCCGTCGACATTGGTTTCGACATCTGCAAATGAAGCAGTGAAGGTTTCATGGGCTGGATACCGTTCCAACGCAATTCGCTCGGGGGCGGTTCACAGACCTCCTGGCAAGGCGAAGAGCTCCACGCTGAGCATGAGACAAAGCTTCATGGACCCCAAGAGCTGAGGAAGGTTGGGCAGCCTACACCACCGAGACCACCAATCCAAAGGCCAAAAGAACTATGACCACCTAAGCGCCCCATCATCATGAACCTGCGCAGCAGAAACTGAAGTTTCCGGCTTGGCGACATCTTCTGGCGACTTCTGGCTACCCTCCACAGCCGAAGAAGATCCATGATTCAAGCAAAGACCAACGATGTACAAAACCAGAACCAACATGGCCAGACTTGCTCCCCCAGTCCAACCTACAAACGCGTGCGTCCTGGCCGCGACCAACAAACTGAGCCTAGTAGCAGAATTTGGGTCCACGCAAAGGATTGGGGTTAGCTTGCATATCGGCATCTTCCACAATTGGCCAGGCTCTGACCCCACGCAGCTTTTAGATCAAAGGCTTCTCCAGTCCCCGCACCGAGGAAACTTGCATCTACTTTCGCCACCGGGCACAGCACGGCGCTTCATGAGAAACGAGACCTGATCCTGGGGCCATTTCTTGCCAAATGGCCCTGAGCTAACACCATCAGACAAAGCGTCTGCTCAAGCGCTCACCAGGCGCCAAGTGAAGCAAACCAGTCCATAACCCAACAGCAACCTAGTACCACGATGCATGGCTTGGATGATCAGCTACCAAATCTAAGTATGAAGCTTCAGCCAAATGGGCTATGGATCTCTGATCCCTGAACAATCTCTCTTCTGGGAGCCCCACCGAACATTGACAAAGGTGAGGGTTGTGCTCAAGGTCCAAGTTACACGGGAAACGACCAATCCCAATTACAGCCGCACCGCAAAGTGGAAGGTCAGTTTGACCCACTCAGCTATCCCCCTGATTTTTCTGCGAGGTGCAAGCACGTTCAGCTGCGAGGTTCGTGCGGCGCTGGACCGCTTTGCAATCTGGGCAAGTCAAGGCAGAGCCGAGGACCATCCGCGAATTAGGAGAACTTCTCGCATCGATCTCTACGTAAAATTAGGGGAGCAATCGAGCGGTAAGCCCTGAAGAAGGCTTGTAGCACCATGATATCTCTGCTGTGGGCTGAGGTTCTTCGGGGTCTGTGGGCAATCATGGCATGTTTTCGGAGGATGAACCTCTGGAGTGGGGGGGGTGCATGAGGGGGTAAGACAAGGAGAGGATTGGGATAAGACCTTTACAAGGACTCCTCTTGACCCCAAACCCTCAAGGCAGCTTGGGTGACCAATCCCAAGCCAAACAAAACTGAGCAGAGCGGGTCTCAAAATGGTGGACCCCCTGTTGGTTTGTGTTTAAAGGAAAACACAAGGAAACCAACCATTTTCGGGAACGATTTTGAGAAATCCACAGCCTGCTCACTTTGCAATAACACCCGCTGATTCTTGCCCAGGATTTTGATGCCTAGCATGTATTTTGCAGCAGCTTTGTCCACGACGTTGCTTTGGCGCACGTGTCAACCATGGACGTGGTTGCTTGGTCTGCTATCAGCCACTGGCCGAAGCTATTCGGTGCTTCTCGTAGCACTTGGATGGCAAATGGCGTAAATGCCCCGTGAAGTTGGAGCACACAGGGTATGGCGAACCCTTTGCCGAGCTGGGAACACCTCTCAGCAATCTATCATGGCCCCTGTCTGCTTGAGATCCCAACGAAGGCGCTTCCAATTCTAGGTCTTCCAACGCAGAGACTCTCTTGGCTTAGAAAGGTGTAGATGATTTATGCATCGCCTTCCTACTGTTGCCGTCCAATGTAGAACAAAACCCTCGGATCCACTGATTTCAAAAACTGCAGGAGTTAAGCATCCCAGCTTCTGACAGCTTCTGATCTTGCCCACTTGGTGCTAGCATCTTGCAGTATCTGAGGTAGAATCCACCGATCCACGCCTCGATCACGCCCGGCTTGGTCTCTGGAACCGGCGAGCTTAGGAGGTCCCTGGCGCCCCGTTGGGGGCCTTTCGACGACCTTGAAAATTCGCGACCCATACCCCCCCTGTTTTTCTTTCGGACCCGTTTCTCACAAAGGCCACCTGCACCTTGAAACTTTGCGACCCGCGTCATGCCCTCCCCTTTGTTTCTTGGAGGGGTCCAACTTGGCATAGAGCCTTCACGGCTGAAGGGCTCATGCGTCTCATGTATCCAAGGCATAACTGATGTCACCACAGAAGAAAGCTCCTCCAAGTTCAACACACCACGTTGTTGCTACGGAAGCTGACGGAGGATCACTTGAACAATATGTTTTCCAGTGAGCTTCTGTGAGGTTCCATGTCGGTGCGAGGATGTTAAGTGGCTCGAATCAATCAAACACACCCAAGAAAGTCAAACAAAACACATGCCCGTAACAACTGGGATTCGAATTCATCAAGTGGCGGTGCCCCGACCCACGAAAACAACTGACGATAGACTGTTTCAGATCTGCAACAAAAGCAGTGCCTCACATTTCTGGTGGGAACAAATGGTGGGGACAAGGTCCCAAGACACGCAACTTCTTTACAAAGGGCCTCTCGTTCTGCAACCAAAAGGCATGTTTTTTGGAGGTTCGGCCCAGTTAATGTTGACCCAGGATTAATAAACCCGTCCCATTATTAGGGGGGTGTTCCCTCCAAAAAATTGTTGAATCCCCACTAAAAGGGACACCCCCCTATTAATCAACCAGGGGTTTATTAATCTGGGGTCAACATTACCATGGCAAACCAGTCACTTCGCTGCGTGCAAAGCGGACTCGGGGCTCCTGAGCCGCGAGAGGTGGCACTGGCGGATGTGCCGCAGCCTCAGAGCCACCGGAATAATGAAAAGACAAACAGGCCTGCGCTGCCATGCAGCTACTTTTGCAAAACAAGTCAAGGTGTTGACCAACACAACAATTGGACAAC